AAACATTCGGTCTTGAAGAAGTTTTAGCTCCTGTTTGAGTGAAAAACAGCCGTCGCAAAGTTTTGTTCTGTTTTCCCGTCCTCCCGACATGCTGTAAGTTAGGTAAATTCCACAAGTCTTGTGTTGAAGTTTGTAAAAAGGAGTAATCCGTGTTTTGTGGAATAAAAATGTAAGCAAAAATGATTAAAGGAGATAAAAAAGCAGAAAGCGAGGAGCAGCAAGAGAATGCGACTGCTCTGTCCAGAGGTCGCATTCTCATGCCATACAGCAGTTCGAATGGGGAAAATCCAGTTGACGCTTGTGGGACTTCCCGATAAGCAAACAAAACAAACGGAAGCCACCGATCCCAGTCTCTACCGGTGTCATCCACAAACTTTTGTAGCATGCGTTTGAGTGTCTGATTAAACCTCTCCACTAGTCCATCTGTTTGTGGGTGGTATGGGGTGGTACGAATAGGTTTGATCCCCAATTGCTGCTGGAAAAGGTGCATCAACCGGGACGTGAAGTTGGTGCCTTGATCCGTAAGAATCTCATCCGGTAATCCAACTCTTGAGAATAGCTGGACGAGAGCTCGAAGAACAGCCGGGGCAGTGATGGTTCTAAGCGGGAAGGCCTCAGGAAACCTGGTCGCATAGTCCGATATGACTAGGATGTACTGGTGGCCGCTGCTGCTCTTCACCAGTGGCCCCACAATGTCCATTGCGATCCTCCGGAAAGGAGTAGACACTACCGGTAGAGGCTGTAAACAAGCACGGTCAGATTTGCGCACAGAACATGTTTTCTGACAACTAGGACAGGTCGCGCAGTACGTTTGGATGTCTGCATACATTGAAGGCCAGAAAAAACGTGAGCTAATGCGCAAAAATGTTTTGTGGCGCCCCAAATGACCCGCCCATGGAACAGTGTGTGCTACGCGCATGACAAGAGTTCTGCAGCTAAGGGGAACAACCAGACGTTTACATTCATTACCCTCACTGTATAGCAACCCATTGTCAATGACAAACCTCTCCCGTCCCAGACAACTCTTTGTATCCTTGCCCACCTTAGCAAACAAACATTTCAATGTTTCATCTTTACGCTGTAACTCACCAACATTGTCAGGCACATTCCAACACAAAGGTAAAACATCTTCAGGACTAGCAGACCACATTTGTTTCTCAAACCGCCTCTGACGGCGGGACTTCTTGGGCCCCTTGGTGCCCCCCTCACACAGACTACTGTCCAAGTCCGGCAGAGGCTGGACACCCGTTTTTGCCTGAGCTCGGGTTAAAACAGGACATGCCATAGACATAGAACAGTTACTATTCCCCCCAGAGTCACTTTCCTCAGACACTTTTTCGTTCAACAGGTCCGTGAGAACTGGTAAATCCCAACCGAGAATAGCATCCACTGGTAAGTTTTCAACCACACCCACACTCACAAGATAGGGCTGGTCTAAGGCAGTCACAGTCACATCCACAGTAGGATAGGGATGGCTATCCCCATGCACGCACTGAATATCCACAGTCTGGCTGTAATCCGTGCCGCTAACTGGAACTGAGCTACGTTTGATCAACGACATAAAGCTGCCAGTATCAAGCAATGCTGTAATCGCTTTGCCATTGATCAGTACAGTTTTATAACGTTGCACAGTACCTTCAGCTTCCATAGAGCTCACGGACTCTGGTCTTGGTGGATAACATGCCCCACTAAATTTTGCTTTGCGCACAGGGCACACGGATGCTTTGTGTCCTGGCTGCTGACAGTAAAAACAAACAAGATCCTTACCAGGTCCTCGTTGGTTTGGGGTAGAGCTGGTGGTACCTTGCCGATCTGGGTAGCTGTCCTGCCGGGGTGGTCTGGAGAGAAGCGGCTGAGCTGGCCCACGCTGAGCTGTAGTGCCGGTCCGGGCAGGTCCTCCTTTGCGCGCGTTGAGGTACTGCACGGCCAACTTTGCAGCGGTGAGTCCATCGCCGGGCTCGCGCTCCTTCACCCAGGTCCGCACCTCGAAGGGGAAAACTCGCAGCAGCTGCTCCATGATGATTGCCTCGCCGACCTCCTCCTTGGTCCGCTCCTCGGGCCGTATCCAGCGACGATAGAGACCTCTGAGACGATGATAGGTCTCCGTGGGGCTCTCTCCAGATGGTAGAGTAGAGGAGCGAAACTGCTGGCGGTAGGTCTCGGGTGAAATATCAAATTTTGCCAACAGGGCCTCCTTTAAGTCCCGGTAGCAGTGGGCTCTCTCCTCGTCCATGGCAGAGTACGCCTCCAGCGCCTTGCCGCTTAACAGAGGAACGAGTCGACACGCCCATTCATCTTCTGGCCATTTCCAGGTTTTTGCTATCCGTTCAAAACGCAACAGATAGTTCTCCATGTCCTCACCACTCTGGTATTGTGGTATCTTTGGCTCATTATAATGCCTCCAGTCACGTCTGGGTCGGTTTTCAGGGTTTAGAGCTTGGTGCCTTTGCTCCTCACCCTCATCACTCTCATCACCTCCCTGATGAATCCCTGCGTACTGCATTCGCTGGCCAGCAGGGGTCGGTAATCCAATCATTGGGCTCCTGTCGGACAGTGACAATGATGCCTGAGACTGGGCACGTGAAATGGGAAAGTGTGGAACCGGCCGATCTCTGGACAAAGGCGGTGGAGAAGACGGAGGGTTAGACTGAGCATTCCCCAGCCTCCGGAGTTCTACCAGCAACCCTTCTTCCCGGCGTTGCTGTCCAGCCAGAAACTCCCTCATTAACATCACCATATCCTGTCCAGGCTCCGAGAATGGCCCGGGTTTGACTTCCGGTTTCCCTTCCTCATCCTCGGTTTCCCATGCTGCTCCAGCGCCCCCTGGCTGTTGCACATGGCTCTGAGACCGCAAACCTGTGCGCTTGGGTAAACGAACACTTTTCTTCCGGCTTGCCATCCCACTTCTGACACCATCTGTCGTGGGTTACTTTAAAAAAAATACAGGCGAGCTCGGATTGCAGTGATTATTTGTGCTTTTATTTTCCCCAAAGTGCGTAAAAATTGGTACAGGCAGTGCAGAGCATATGTACAGTGAATTTAGCAGAAAAAAACAACAGGTCCACTCGGACACATAGGTCACCTTTAATGGCTCCAGGTAGTTACCTCCTCTGTAACCAGCGGCAGACTGACGGGTGCCAGACACGGCTCTCCTTTATAGTCCCCTTTGCTCCTCCCATTGAGCAAAATAAATTATTACAAATACGACGTATAAACAGGGAATACATATATGGACCCATTCCCTATTGGTCCAACACAAAAACCTATACTCTACAATGAAACATTAGGCCATTATAAGTATATTTAATCTTGGGGACAATTCCCCACGCTCCCAGGGCACATTTAACCCGCCAGGAAGTATGGTCCTGGTTTGATCCTCGCGCACAGATGCAGAGGAGCACGACAGACCGGTACGTGTATGAATGTATGCTTAAATGTATTTCTAGCCCGCACAGTGTGCACCCCTGGGCGAACTAGTAACTGAGGGAAGAGAGGGGCAAGAGTATGGATGATGCGTGTGGCTGTTAAGCATTAATGGAACGGAGGGAAAAAGGGGTGCGCGCGTTTGGAATGGCGTGTGTGTGTGCGTGCAGGTGCGCGTGTGGCGCATGCGGCACTAAAGTCAGCCTTTACTTTAAAACTACGTAACTACAGACGGACCCGCTCCGTCACAGTGAGTGAGAGTGTGAGAGAGAGTGAGTGAGTGAGAGTGTGAGAGTGAGTGAGTGAGCGTGAGTAAGTGTGTGAGTGAGTGAGTGAGAGTGTGTGAGTGAGAGTGTGAGTGAGAGTGTGTGAGAGTGTGTGAGTGAGAGTGTGAGTGAGTGAGAGAGTGAGTGAGAGTGTGTGAGTGAGAGAGAGTGAGTGAGAGTGTGAGAGTGTGTGAGCGAGAGTGAGGGAGTGAGTGAGTGAGTGAGTGAGTGCGAGTGAGTGAGAGTGAGTGAGTGAGTGAGTGAGAGAGTGAGTGAGATTGTGAGAGTGATTGAGTGTGTGAGAGAGTGAGCGAGAGTGAGTGAGTGTGTGAGAGTGAGTGAGAGTAAGAGAGAGTGAGTGAGTGTGTGAGAGTGAGTGAGAGTAAGAGAGTGAGTGAGTGTGTGAGAGTGAGTGAGTGTGTGAGAGTGAGTGAGAGTGAGAGAGTGAGTGAGAGTGAGAGAGTGAGTGAGTGTGAGTGAGTGAGTGAGTGTGTGAGAGTGAGTGAGTGAGTGAGTGTGAGTGAGTAAGTGAGTGAGAGTGAGTGTGAGAGAGTGAGTGAGTGTGAGAGTGAGTGTGTGAGAGTGAGTGAGTGTGTGAGAGTGAGTGAGTGTGAGAGAGTGAGTGAGAGAGTGAGTGAGTGAGTGAGTGAGTGAGTGAGAGTGAGTGAGTGTGTAAGAGTGAGTGAGAGAGTGAGTGAGTGAGTGAGTGAGAGTGAGAGAGTGAGTGTGTGAGAGTGAGTGAGTGAGAGAGTGAGAGTGAGAGAGTGAGTGTGTGAGAGTGAGTGAGTGAGTGTGAGAGTGAGTGAGTGAGAGAGTGAGAGTGTGTGAGAGTGAGTAAGAGAGTGAGAGTGTGTGAGTGGGTGAGTGTGAGTGAGTGTGTGAGAGTGAGTGAGTGAGAGAGAGTGAGAGTGAGTGAGTGAGAGTGTGTGAGAGAGAGAGTGAGTGAGTAGAGTGAGTGAGTGAGTGAGTGTGAGTGAGTGAGTGAGTGTGAGTGAGTGTGTGAGAGTGAGAGAGAGTGAGTGAGATTGAGTGAGTGAGTGAATGGGTGAGTGTGAGTGCGAGTGAGTGTGTGAGAGTGAGAGTGAGAGTGTGTGAGAGTGAGTGAGTGAGTGAGTGAGTGGGTGAGTGTGAGAGTGAGCGAGAGTGTGTGTGAGTGAGTGCGAGTGAGTGAGTGAGAGTGAGTGAGTGAGTGAGAGAGTCTGAGAGTGAGTGAGTGAGAGTGAGTGAGTGAGAGTGAGTGAGTGAGAGAGTCTGAGAGTGAGTGAGAGAGTCTGAGAGTGAGTGAGTGAGAGTGAGTGAGTGGCAGCTCACCTCCTGGAGCCTGTATGCAGTCTGCGAGCTGCTCTCTGGTGCCCCCTGTCTCTGCAGCTGTGTCTCCACTCGCTCCAGTCTGAACAGCATCTGCTTAAAGGCCTCCAGAGGACCAGGCTGAGACAGACATGTGAATCACCATCTGCCACCTCACTCTCACGCCCCCTCAGAGAGACTACGCCCCTCAGACTGACCACGCCCTCTCAGACTGACCACTCCCCTCAGACTGACCACTCCCCTCAGACTGACCACTCCCCTCAGACTGACCACTCCCCTCAGACTGACCACTCCCCTCAGACTGATCACTCCCCTCAGACTGACCACTCCCCTCAGACTGATCACTCCCCTCAGACTGACCACTCCCCTCAGACTGAGCACGCCCTCTCAGACTGACCACTCCCCTCAGACTGACCACTCCCCTCAGACTGACCACTCCCTCTCAGACTGACCACCCCCTCTCAGACTGACCACTCCCCTCAGACTGACCACTCCCCTCAGACTGATCACTCCCCTCAGACTGACCACCCCCTCAGACTGAGCACGCCCTCTCAGACTGACCACTCCCCTCAGACTGACCACTCCCCTCAGACTGACCACTCCCCTCAGACTGACCACTCCCCTCAGACTGACCACTCCCCTCAGACTGATCACTCCCCTCAGACTGACCACTCCCCTCAGACTGACCACTCCCCTCAGACTGACCACGCTCTCTCAGACTGACCACTCCCCTCAGACTGACCACTCCCCTCAGACTGAGCACGCCCTCTCAGACTGATCACTCCCCTCAGACTGACCACTCCCCTCAGACTGACCACTCCCCTCAGACTGACCACTCCCCTCAGACTGACCACGCCCTCTCAGACTGACCACTCCCCTCAGACTGACCACTCCCCTCAGACTGACCACTCCCCTCAGACTGACCACTCCCCTCAGACTGACCACGCCCTCTCAGACTGACCACTCCCCTCAGACTGACCACTCCCCTCAGACTGACCACTCCCCTCAGACTGATCACTCCCCTCAGACTGACCACTCCCCTCAGACTGACCACTCCCCTCAGACTGACCACGCTCTCTCAGACTGACCACTCCCCTCAGACTGACCACTCCCCTCAGACTGACCACTCCCCTCAGACTGACCACTCCCCTCAGACTGATCACTCCTCTCAGACTCACCCCTCAGACTGACCACGCCCTCTCAGACTGACCACTCCCCTCAGACTGACCACTCCCCTCAGACTGACCACTCCCCTCAGACTGATCACTCCCCTCAGACTGACCACTCCCCTCAGACTGATCACTCCCCTCAGACTGACCACTCCCCTCAGACTGACCACTCCCCTCAGACTGACCACTCCCCTCAGACTGACCACGCCCTCTCAGACTGACCACTCCCCTCAGACTGACCACTCCCCTCAGACTGACCACTCCCCTCAGACTGACCACTCCCCTCAGACTGACCACTCCCCTCAGACTGACCACTCCCCTCAGACTGACCACTCCCCTCAGACTGATCACTCCCCTCAGACTGACCACTCCCCTCAGACTGACCACTCCCCTCAGACTGACCACGCCCTCTCAGACTGACCACTCCCCTCAGACTGACCACGCCCTCTCATACAGACTCAGAATGATCAACCCCCTCAGACTGACTGGGCAGAGCTCAGAGCTATGCGGCCGGTCTACACAGGGGGCGCTGTGGAAACCTCTCATTAGAAGCCATGCCTGGTGCGTGGAAGAGCCCTGGGAGTCACTGAACCACTAATGTGCAAAGTAGTCACCTGAGCCTGGGGTTCACTCAGGTCCTGGTCCTCCCTCAGGTCCTGGAATCTGTCTGGACTTCCTGTGAACACAAAGGACCTCAATAAATAAGAGAGAGCCCTGTGAGAGCTGATTGGCTGAGTGAGGCTGGTCCTCTCTCTTTCTCTGATCTGACCATGTGACAGAGGCCAAACATACACGACGTGAAAACTATTGACAGAAGCAACTGGTCGAGTTATGTACCCCGGCTTTAAAGTCACGTACCCCTGCTCTAAAGTCACGTACCCCAGCTTTAAAGTCACATACCACAGCTTTAAAGTCACGTACCCCAGCTTTAAAGTCACATACCACAGCTTTAAAGTCACATACCACAGCTTTAAAGTCACGTACCCCTGCTTTAAAGTCACATACCACAGCTTTAAAGTCACGTACCCCGGCTTTAAAGTCACATACCACAGCTTTAAAGTCACGTACCCCTGCTTTAAAGTCACATACCACAGCTTTAAAGTCACGTACCCCAGCTTTAAAGTCACATACCACAGCTTTAAAGTCACGTACCCCTGCTTTAAAGTCACATACCACAGCTTTAAAGTCACGTACCCCGGCTTTAAAGTCACATACCACAGCTTTAAAGTCACGTACCCCTGCTTTAAAGTCACATACCACAGCTTTAAAGTCACGTACCCCGGCTTTAAAGTCACATACCACAGCTTTAAAGTCACGTACCCCTGCTTTAAATTCACTTTACTGGGCCTAAGCACATAGACTCCAACACGTCACAGTCTGTGGGTGGGAGAGTCCTGGGAGGTCTGGTCTTGGGGACTCTGGACCTGGGAAGTCTGGTCTTGTGAGACTTGGGTCTGGACCTGGGAGGTCTGGTCTTGTGAGACTTGGGTCTGGACCTGGGAGGTCTGGTCTTGTGAGACTTGGGTCTGGACCTGGGAGGTCTGGTCTTGTGAGACTTGGGTCTGGACCTGGGAGGTCTGGTCTTGTGAGACTTGGGTCTGGACCTGGGAGGTCTGGTCTTGTGAGACTTGGGTCGGGGAGGTCTGGTCTTGGGGACTCTGGACCTGGGTTGTCTGGTCTTGAGGGCTCTGGATCTGGCAGGTCTGGTCTTGTGAGACTTGGGTCTGGACCTGGGTTGTCTGGTCTTGGGGGCTCTGGATCTGGGAGGTCTGGTCTTGTGAGACTTGGGTCTGGGAGGTCTGGTCTTGGGGACTCTGGACCTGGGGCCTGCGGGGGGACTGGAGTGGCTGAGGCTGAGCTCTGCAGTGAGTCCAGGAGCCGGTCGGCCTTCAGGATTAGAGACTCCACCGCTGAGTCTGAAAAAACAGATGAAGAGACTGTTAGCATGTTAGCATGAGAGTGTTAGCATGTTAGCATGATAGTGTTAGCATGTCAGGATGAGACTGAGTGCTCTGTTCTGTTGGAAAGCCCACCTCTGAGGCCCCACTCCGCAGAGCTGCTCCGGTCTGTCACCATGTGTGAAATATGCTCAGCGAACTGGAGGCGCAGACTCCTCAGGGTTTCCTCTGTGTGCTCCTCTGTGCCTCCTCTGTAGCTGCTCTCTGATTGGCCTTGGCCTCTGTAGTCGCTCTCTGATTGGTCCTGGCCTCTGTAGCCGCTCTCTGATTGGCCCTGGCCTCTGTAGCCGCTCTCTGATTGGCCCTGGCCTCTGTAGCCGCTCTCTGATTGGCCCTGGCCTCTGTAGCCGCTCTCTGATTGGCCCTGGCCTCTGTAGCTGCTCTCTGATTGGCCCTGGCCTCTGTAGCCGCTCTCTGATTGGCCCTGGCCTCTGTAGCTGCTCTCTGATTGGCCCTGGCCTCTGTAGCTGCTCTCTGATTGGCCCTGGCCTCTGTAGCCGCTCTCTGATTGGCCCTGGCCTCTGTAGCCGCACTCTGATTGGCTGGTGCAGTGGATCCAGGGCGGGTAGGAGAACTCCGGGAGGCTGATCTCGTCCGATAGCTCGAGCGCAGACTTGTTAGAGCTCAACCAATGGGGAAGGTGCATGTTGGCCTGGTTCCTGCTAGCAGGCCAATCACAGCGCGGCGTAGATGAAGGCCCCGCCCCCTGAGACAACAGAAGAGAAAAGCATGTGACCGTAGCCTCACCACCAGAGACGTGTCCAGAGCTGTTTTGTAAAGAGGAATGGGAACTCTGTACAGACCTGAGACAAGCAGCCAGATGCACTCAGGGGATCAATAGTTTTGCAAGTCACACTTTTCATTTTCACATTTTTGATCCTATTTCGCTGAGTGTAAATTAGAAAATCAGTGTTTGTAGAAGTACCTTCAGGAGTGAGGTCCTCTTCTGTGACCGCAAAGCACCACATCTGAACACACAGACACACAACATCTGAACACACAAACACACAACATCTGAACACACAAACACACAACATCTGAACACACAAACACACAACATCTGAACACACAAACACACAACATCTGAACACACAGACACACAACATCTGAACACACAGACACACAACATCTGAACACACAAACACACAACATCTGAACACACAAACACACAACATCTGAACACACAAACACACAACATCTGAACACACAAACACACAACATCTGAACACACAGACACACAACATCTGAACACACAGACACACAACATCTGAACACACAAACACACAACATCTGAACACACAAACACACAACATCTGAACACACAAACACACAACATCTGAACACACAAACACAACATCTGAACACACAGACACACAACATCTGAACACACAGACACACAACATCTAAACACACAGACACACAACATCTGAACACACAACACCTGAACACACAAACACACAACATCTGAACACAGACACACAACATCTGAACACACAGACACACAACATCTGAACACACAGACACACAACATCTAAACACACAGACACACAACATCTGAACACACAAACACACAACACCTGAACACACAAACACACAACATCTGAACACAGACACACAACATCTGAACACACAAACACACAACACCTGAACACACAACATCTGAACACACAGACACACAACATCTAAACACACAGACACACAACATCTGAACACACAAACACACAACACCTGAACACACAAACACACAACATCTGAACACAGACACACAACATCTGAACACACAAACACACAACACCTGAACACACAACATATGAACACACAGACACACAACATCTGAACACACAGACACACAACATCTGAACACACAAACACACAACACCTGAACACACAAACACACAACATCTGAACACACAGACACACAACATCTGAACACACAGACACACAACATCTGAACACACAAACACACAACATCTGAACACACAAACACACAACATCTGAACACACAAACACAACATCTGAACACACAAACACACAACATCTGAAAACACAAACACACAACATTTGAACACACACACAACATCTGAACACACACAACATCTGAACACACAGACACACAACATCTGAACACACAGACACACAACATCTGAACACACAAACACACAACATCTGAACACACAAACACACAACATCTGAACACACAAACACACAATATCTGAGCACACAAACACAACATCTGAGCACACAATCACACAACATCTGAGCACACAAACACACAACATCTGAACACACAGACACACAACATCTGAGCACACAGACACACAACATCTGAACACACAAACACAACATCTGAGCACACAAACACAACATCTGAGCACACAAACACACAACATCTGAACACACAGACACACAACATCTGAACACACAAACACACAACACCTGAACACACAAACACACAAAATCTGAACACACAGACACACAACATCTGAACACAGACACACAACATCTGAACACACAAACACACAACACCTGAACACACAACATCTGAACACACAGACACACAACATCTGAACACACAGACACACAACATCTGAACACACAAACACACAACACTTGAACACACAAAAACACAACATCTGAACACACAGACACACAACATCTGAACACACAAACACACAACACCTGAACACACAACATCTGAACACACAGACACACAACATCTGAACACACAGACACACAACATCTGAACACACAAACACAACATCTGAACACACAAACACACAACATCTGAACACACAAACACACAACATCTGAACACACAAACACACAACATCTGAACACACACACACAACATCTGAACACACAAACACACAACATCTGAACACAGACACACAACATCTGAACAAACAAACACACAACATCTGAGCACACAAAACACAACATCTGAGCACACAAACACAACATCTGAGCACACAAACACAACATCTGAGCACACAGACACACAACATCTGAACACACAGACACACAACATCTGAGCACACAGACACACAACATCTGAGCACACAGACACACAACATCTGAGCACACAGACACACAACATCTGAGCACACAGACACACAACATCTGAACACACAGACACACAACATCTGAGCACACAGACACACAACATCTGAACACAGACACACAACATCTGAACACACAAACACACAACACCTGAACACACAACATATGAACACACAGACACACAACATCTGAACACACAACATCTGAACACACAGACACACAACATCTGAACACACAAACACACAACACCTGAACACACAAACACACAACATCTGAACACACAGACACACAACATCTGAACACACAGACACACAACATCTGAACACACAAACACACAACATCTGAACACACAAACACACAACATCTGAACACACAAACACAACATCTGAACACACAAACACACAACATCTGAAAACACAAACACACAACATTTGAACACACACACAACATCTGAACACACACAACATCTGAACACACAGACACACAACATCTGAACACACAGACACACAACATCTGAACACACAAACACACAACATCTGAACACACAAACACACAACATCTGAACACACAAACACACAATATCTGAGCACACAAACACAACATCTGAGCACACAATCACACAACATCTGAGCACACAAACACACAACATCTGAACACACAGACACACAACATCTGAACACACAGACACACAACATCTGAGCACACAGACACACAACATCTGAACACACAAACACAACATCTGAGCACACAAACACACAACATCTGAACACACAAACACACAAACACACAACACCTGAACACACAAAAACACAACATCTGAACACACAGACACACAACATCTGAACACACAAACACACAACACCTGAACACACAACATCTGAACACACAGACACACAACATCTGAACACACAGACACACAACATCTGAACACACAAACACAACATCTGAACACACAAACACACAACATCTGAACACACAAACACACAACATCTGAACACACAAACACACAACATCTGAACACACACACACAACATCTGAACACACAAACACACAACATCTGAACACAGACACACAACATCTGAACAAACAAACACACAACATCTGAGCACACAAAACACAACATCTGAGCACACAAACACAACATCTGAGCACACAAACACAACATCTGAGCACACAGACACACAACATCTGAACACACAGACACACAACATCTGAGCACACAGACACACAACATCTGAGCACACAGACACACAACATCTGAGCACACAGACACACAACATCTGAACACACAGACACACAACATCTGAGCACACAGACACACAACATCTGAACACACAGACACACAACATCTGAACACACAGACACACAACATCTGAACACACAGACACACAACATCTGAACACACAGACACACAACATCTGAACACACAGACACACAACATCTGAGCACACAGACACACAACATCTGAACACACAGACACACAACATCTGAACACACACAGTGACAGCTCTTCCATCAGCTTCAGTTACAATCGTGTCACCTGGAGCAGTGCAGAGCTCTGATTGGCTGGCTGGCCCTGTGGGCGGGGCTCTGGCTGCAGATGTGGGAGGGTCCAGGCTTTGCCAAGATTCCTGAGAACCAACAGAAACATGTGAGGGACCAGAGAGAGAGACAAGAGAGAGACCAGAGAGAGACCAGAGAGAGACCAGAGAGAGACCAGAGAGAGACCAGAGAGAGACCAGAGAGAGACCAGAGAGAGACCAGAGAGACCAAGAGAGACCAGAGAGAGACCAGAGAGAGACCAGAGAGAGACCAGAGAGAGAGACCAGAGAGAGACCAGAGAGAGACCAGAGAGAGACCAGAGAGAGACCAGAGAGAGACCAGAGAGAGAGACCAAGAGAGAGAGAGAGACCAGAGAGAGAGACCAGAGAGAGACCAGAGAGAGACCAGAGAGAGACCAGAGAGAGACCAGAGAGAGACCAGAGAGAGAGACCAGAGAGAGAGAGAGAGACCAGAGAGAGAGACCAGAGAGAGAGACCAGAGAGAGACCAGAGAGACACCAGAGAGAGAGAGAGAGAGACCAGAGAGAGACTAGAGAGAGAGACAAGAGAGAGACCAGAGAGAGACCAGAGAGAGAGACAAGAGAGAGACCAGAGAGAGACCAGAGAGAGAGAGAGAGACCAGAGAGAGACCAGAGAGAGAGAGAGAGACCAGAGAGAGACCAGAGAGAGAGAGAGAGAAACCAGAGAGATGTGTGTCTGTAAGTGTAGTGTGTGTGTTACCGTGTATCACAGCTGTGGTGTGTGTTATCGGCATGGATCCGTCGTTGGGGAGGTTGAGAAGTTCGTCTGTTGTCATGGAGACCCGATCCCGGTTGTCACGGTGACAGAGCGAGCTGACAGGAAGCGACAGGAAGTGAAGCTCCTCCTCTGACAGACGCTCACGCAGAACTGTAGAAGACAAGCTAACGTCAGGCTAACTCACGCAAACGTCATTATAACGTCAGAACTGTATAGGAAGACAATCCAACGTCAGGCTAAGCTTAGGCTACCTTATGGTAACACCCTGCTAACCCTGCTAAAGGATGACAAGCTAACATCAAGCTAGCGTCAGGCTTGCTCATGCCAACGTCAACACTGTAGAAGAAAAGTTAACGTCAGGCTACCTCATGCTAATGTGATGCTAACATCAGAACTGCAAAGGACAACAAGCTAACATCAGGCTAGCTCATGCTAACGTCAGAACTGAAGAAGAAGAAAAGTTAACGTCAGGCTACCTCATGCTAACGTGATGCTAACGTCAGAACTGTTAAGGATGACAAGCTAAGGTAAGGCTAACAGGGCAGACTTTAGTTGATCCTCTGCGGTCGATGTGTCACACATGAGCTGCGTACCGTCACGATTCCTGAGCGCGCTCAGTGTAGACCTGCGGTGGGAGGAGTTAGACAGCCATGGCCCCGCCCTCTTCTGTGAGTCTCCATGACGACGGCGTTCGAAGTCTGTGATGTAAGCGTCAAGAGCGGCGGAGGCAGAGTCATACTCCTGAAGAGAGAGAGACACACACACACACATTATTACTATATCATTATTTTTATTAGTCCATAAAATACAAACACCACATCGAAAACACAACAAACAAACAATTATACATACACACATGTAGTAGCAGTAACTGTATTAACAGCAGCAGAAGTAGTAATAGTAGCAGTAGAAGTATTAGCAGTAGTAGTGTACTTACCATGTCTTTATAAGTGAAGGACTCCCTCAGCTCAGTCAGACGTCCTGAGGAGGACAGGAGGGACGTCACAGTGGACTCAGGAGACACACTGTCCATCCTACAGGGGGAGAGACCAGAGAGAGAGACCAGAGAGAGAGACCAGAGAGAGAGACCCAGAGAGAGAGACCAGAGAGAGAGACCAGAGAGAGAGACCAGAGAGAGACCAGAGAGAGAGACCAGAGAGAGAGACCAGAGAGAGAGACCAGAGAGAGAGACCAGAGAGAGAGACCAGAGAGAGAGACCAGCGAGAGACCAGAGAGAGACCAGAGAGAGAGACCAGAGAGAGAGACCAGAGAGAGACCAGAGAGAGAGACCAGAGAGAGAGACCAGAGAGAGAGACCAGAGAGACACCAGAGAGAGAGACCAGAGAGACACCAGAGAGAGAGACCAGAGAGACACCAGAGAGAGAGACCAGAGAGAGAGACCAGAGAGAGACCAGCGAGACACCAGAGAGAGACCAGAGAGAGAGACCAGAGAGAGAGACCAGAGAGAGCGAGAGAGACCAGAGAGAGAGACCAGCGAGAGACCAGAGAGAGAGACCAGAGAGAGAGAGACCAGAGAGAGACCAGCGAGACACCAGAGAGAGACCAGAGAGAGAGACCAGAGAGAGAGACCAGAGAGAGAGACCAGAGAGAGCGAGAGAGACACACACCACATTATAATGGATATGTTCCTCATCCTCCAGGAGCAGTGCAGGAATTTTCCAACATATTTTTCCAAGGAAACCTTTCTAAAGGAAAGAGCAGCGTGTGCAACAGCCCAAACTCACTCACCCATATACGACTCGTCCCGCTGTCATTATGCATTTATTATGTATTTATTACATTTGAGTAACTTGAATTGTACCTGAGAAATGTGTTTAGTTGTGAGATACTACACAAGTCAACATAGTCCAGGACACAGTTCCTTTTCGCTGCTTTCTCCAAAAAATGTGGGTTGGTTTCATTTGAAACTTGGAAATCTGGTTTAATTACAATCTCAGTGTTATATGAACAAACTAAACCAGATCAAACAGGCTATATTATATCTAAAGGGCAGTGTGGGGGTAAACACTTAAACCTCAGTCCAGTGAAGTTATGATAATAGATCCATGGGTGAGCAACAGCCAAGAGACTGCTGTAAAACGGGAACAAAACTTCAACTAAAGTTGTTATTACAATAATCAAACACGTCACATTCAGAACTCTCACCTCCAGCTCTGACCAGGGTTAAATCCAAGTTAATGTTTAAAAAATATCAATAAAAAGCCAAATCGTGAGAATGATTAAAACGTCGCGCGGAGCTGTTCCTGAGCCTGTTAGCGTTAGCCACATTAGCATCACACTTCCGCCTCGGTCCAAATCTTTCACAATCCGCAGATATACTCGTTTCATTCACGGATATAATCGGTTAATTCACATGGGGCCGAGTAAACACGGGTTATTGGCGCTAAACTAGGTCCCTGTGCAGTTTGAGTGAAATCAAGCGTAAAAGAGGTTGCTTTGCGCATTTTAGCCATTTTAGCATTAGCCAATATCGGCTGTTTCCATGGTAACCCGAGTATGCACGGAAAAAGCCGAGAGAAAAAAACAAATTAACCTTCCTTCCTCTTCTTTTTCTCTTTAAACGTGGCCTGTTCTAAAGCAAGCAGATTTAGGTGTGTGGCAAATGGAATGTTTAAAATAAATGTGACGTCACCATTATGAAGAAGATTATAAAAACATATTGAAGTTTCACGAGTAAAATATAAATACATATATTTATTCCTATCTGAGTTTTTATTTAACATGATTCATGTTTGTTATTTTATCGATTCATTTATGTACGTCATGGTGTGCGTGCGATGACCAAGAGCGCTGACGTCACCATCTGTCATCAGCCGTTAGACTCAGCGCGGAAAAGCACCAGAAAACAGCAGAAAACACCAGAAACCCGGGGTAAAGTGTGTCAACCCGGGTCAACCCGGGACATACCGGACCACACCGGACCATCACGAACCATCAGTGAGCCCAGACGGAGCCGACCCAAGTCGTGTTTGTGAAAGCTGTACCGGAAATCAGCCGCAACCCGCAGAGCAGAGGTAAATCAACTTTATATGAATAGCACAGTTCATACACACGGGGACTCAAAGTGCTGAACAAAACCAGAGGGAAACTTTAAAATCATGAACTCTCGCAGTGCATTTAAAGAGTGGACCTGGATTTGAACATTGTCAGAATAGAAGCTTGTCTTTCATTTTCATGAAGACTTTTCCAGATTTTAGCTGGAGACCAGTCCCTGTGCTCCCCAGAGTCTCAGCACGAGACCAGTCCCTGTGCTCCTCAGAGTCTCAGCACGAGACCAGTCCCTGTGCTCCTCAGAGTCTCAGCACGAGACCAGTCCCTGTGCTCCTCAGAGTCTCAGCACGAGACCATCCCTGTGCTCCCAGAGTCTCAGCACCAGAGTCCACACAGACCACGCCAGCCACGAGACCATCCCTGTGCTCCCAGTCTAGCACGAGACCAGTCCCTGTGCCCAGAGTCCACGACATCCCTGTGCTCCAGTCTCAGCACGAGACCATCCTGTGCTCCAGAGTCCAGCACGAGACCAGTCCCTGTGCTCCCAGAGTCTCAGCACGAGACCAGTCCCTGGCTCCTCAGAGTCTCAGAACGACACTAGTCCCTGTGCTCGAGTCTCAGAACGACACTAGTCCCTGTGCTCCTCAGAGTCTCAGAACGACACTAGTCCCTGTGCTCCCCAGAGTCTCAGAACGACACTAGTCCCTGTGCTCCTCAGAGTCTCAGAACGACACTAGTCCCTGTGCTCCTCAGATTTGGTTCATATGGCACTAAGATGTCACAGATGTACTTCGGTGCCAGTGTTGTGCGTGAACGAGTTCAAAAGAACGCGTTCATTGAACACGCTCATTTTTTTGTGAACGTTGAACTGAACGCAACACATTTTTTAATAAAGAACTTGAACGTGAATTAGTTCATAATATGTGTCATGAACGGCAGACATCTCTATGAACGTTGGAATCTGTTTTCTCTTTTGAAACACAACAAGAGAAAGTTCCTTCCTCCAGTATTCTCCGCACTTTTTCCGCCGAAAACTAAAAATTCCTACGGTGTACACCGTCTGTGAACGTACCCCGACTCCGTGTCGAGCCAGCCGGTGCGGCGCTGTGAGCTGGTGCTTTTCTTTGGTTGTTGGACTCACATGTGCCCGAGTTGTGATGATAACAAAGGGTGAGTTTGCGACACAGGACCACCCGTTTACATTTGACATAAAGTATAGACACACGCTCTGCAGCGCATTACTGTCTGTAGCACTTATGAGCAGTGGCAACTCAGTTTTTTCCTCCCAATGTAGAATAGATCTTGTCTGTTTTAGCGTCAAAAGGCTCTCATCCTGTGAGATGTACAGGATATATACTTATATATAATGTGATTTCTAGCTCGTAGTGTGAAAAAAATATTTATTTGAATATCTCACAAAAAAAGTAAAATGAACTGAACTTTGAACTAGTTCAGAATTAAAAATGTGAACTTTGAACGTGAACTGTTCACTTTGAGCATGTATGAACTGAACTTGAACTAGTTCAGAAAAGCTGTGAATTGGAACAACACTGTTCGGTGCAAGGCCAAAGGAGAGACTTCAGGACAGAGACTGATGACGTCACACTGGGGTGATGTCACACTGGGGTGATGTCACACTGGGGTGATGTCATACTGGGGTGATGTCACACTGGGGTGATGTCATACTGGGGTGGTGTTTCACTATGATGATGTCACACTATGGTCCACTCCTCATATCCGCTCTATGATTGGTCGGAGAAAGACTCGGTCGCAGGTCGGGTTGGAGGCCCTTGGGTCTCGTGAGTTGACGTTTGTCGGCCATGTTGTTCAAGTGTGTGTTTAAGGCGGAGTATCTTCAGCAGATGGAGAAGAAGAGGACAGACTGTGCTGCGCTGCCCCCTGGCTGGAAGAAAGAGGAAGTGATCCGCAAGTCTGGGCTGAGTGCAGGGAAGAGCGACATCTACTACTACAGGTACAAGTACATGTACGAGTAGAAGTACAGGTACAGGTCTCCGGTCTAAACCTGGTCCCTCAGTCCCTCAGGGAGGAAGTTCCGGTCCAAGCCTCAGCTGGTCCGATTTCTGGGATCGTCAGTGGATCTGTCCAGTTTCGACTTCAGGACCGGGAAAGTGACTGTGGGGAAAGTGCTCAAGCACAAACAGAAGAGACACGAGGGGGGAGGAACCAACAAGGTCTGAGCACCACACTCACCAACAGGGTCCACACTCACACTGACAGGGTCCACACTCACACTGACAGGGTCCACACTCACCAACAGGGTCCACACTCACACTGACAGTGTCCACACTCACACTGACAGGGTCCACACTCACCAACAGGGTCCACACTCACCAACAGTGTCCACACTCACACTGACAGTGTCCACACTCACACTGACAGGGTCCACACTCACCAACAGTGTCCACACTCACACTGACAGGGTCCACACTCACACTGACAGGGTCCACACTCACCAACAGGGTCCACACTCACACTGACAGGGTCTACACTCACACTGACAGGGTCACACTCACACACTGACAGGGTCTACACTCACACTGACAGGGTCTACACTCACACTGACAGGGTCCACACTCACACTGACAGGGTCCACACTCACACTAACAAGTGTCCACACTCACACTGACAGGGTCCACACTCACCAACAGGGTCCACACTCACACTGACAGGGTCTACACTCACACTGACAGGGTCAACACTCACACTGACAGGGTCTACACTCACACTGACAGGGTCCACACTCACACTGACAGGGTCTACACTCACACTAACAAGTGTCCACACTCACACTGACAGGGTCCACACTCACACTGACAGGGTCAACACTCACACTGACAGGGTCTACACTCACACTGACAGGGTCCACACTCACCAACAGTGTCCACACTCACACTGACAGTGTCCACACTCACACTGACAGGGTCCACACTCACCAACAGTGTCCACACTCACACTGACAGTGTCCACACTCACACTGACAGGGTCCACACTCACCAACAGTGTCCACACTCACACTGACAGGGTCCACACTCACACTGACAGGGTCCACACTCACCAACAGGGTCAACACTCACACTGACAGGGTCTACACTCACACTGACAGGGTCAACACTCACACTGACAGTGTCCACACTCACACTGACAGGGTCCACACTCACACTGACAGGGTCAACACTCACACTGACAGGGTCTACACTCACACTGACAGGGTCAACACTCACACTGACAGGGTATACACTCACACTGACAGTGTCCACACTCACACTGACAGTGTCCACACTCACACTGACAGGGTCCACACTCACACTGACAGGGTCAACACTCACACTGACAGGGTCTACACTCACCAACAGTGTCCACACTCACACTGACAGGGTCCACACTCACACTGACAGGGTCCACACTCACCAACAGGGTCCACACTCACACTGACAGGGTCTACACTCACACTGACAGGGTCAACACTCACACTGACAGGGTCTACACTCACACTGACAGGGTCTACACTCACACTGACAGGGTCTACACTCACACTGACAGGGTCTACACTCACACTGACAGGGTCTACACTCACACTGACAGGGTCAACACTCACACTGACAGGGTCTACACTCACACTGACAGGGTCTACACTCACACTGACAGGGTCTACACTCACACTGACAGGGTCTACACTCACACTGACAGGGTCAACACTCACACTGACAGTGTCCACACTCACACTGACAGGGTCAACACTCACACTGACAGGGTCTACACTCACCAACAGTGTCCACACTCACACTGACAGGGTCCACACTCACACTGACAAGGTCCACACTCACCAACAGGGTCCACACTCACACTGACAGGGTCTACACTCACACTGACAGGGTCAACACTCACACTGACAGTGTCCACACTCACACTGACAGGGTCAACACTCACACTGACAGGGTCTACACTCACCAACAGTGTCCACACTCACACTGACAGGGTCCACACTCACACTGACAGGGTCCACACTCACCAACAGGGTCCACACTCACACTGACAGGGTCTACACTCACACTGACAGGGTCAACACTCACACTGACAGGGTCTACACTCACGCTGACAGGGTCTACACTCACACTGACAGGGTCTACACTCACACTGACAGGGTCTACACTCACACTGACAGGGTCTACACTCACACTGACAGGGTCAACACTCACACTGACAGGGTCTACACTCACACTGACAGGGTCTACACTCACACTGACAGGGTCTACACTCACACTGACAGGGTCAACACTCACACTGACAGTGTCCACACTCACACTGACAGGGTCCACACTCACACCAACAATGTCGTTTGCCCTTTGACCCTCAGAGCGGGAAACTTGACCTGAACACTGCGCTCCCGATCCGTCAGACTGCCCCCATCTTCAAACAGCCGGTCACCATGGTAACCAGCCACTACGGCAACAAGGTGAAGAGTGATCAGCAGAGGGCGCCAGAGCCACCAAGACAGGTGAGAGAGGGGGGAGGGAGGGGTCAGAGCTGAGAGGGGAGGGGGACAGGTGAGAGAGGGGGGAGGGAGGGGTCAGAGCTGAGAGGGGAGGGGGACAGGTGAGAGAGGGGGGAGGGAGGGGTCAGAGCTGAGAGGGGAGGGGGACAGGTGAGAGAGGGGGAGGGAGGGGTCAGAGCTGAGAGGGGAGGGGGACAGGTGAGACAGGGTGTGTTTTGACAGGGGGGGTGTTACAGATGTTCTGACAGAGGGGGGGGGGGTGTTACAGATGTTCTGACAGAGGGGGGGGTGTTACAGATGTTCTGACAGAGGGGGGGGGGGTGTTACAGATGTTCTGACAGAGGGGGGGGTGTTACAGATGTTCTGACAGAGGGGGGGGGGGTGTTACAGATGTTCTGACAGAGGGGGGGGGGGGTGTTACAGATGTTCTGACAGAGGGGGGGGGGTGTTACAGATGTTCTGACAGAGGGGGGGGGGGTGTTACAGATGTTCTGACAGAGGGGGGGGTGTTACAGATGTTCTGACAGAGGGGGGGGGGGGGTGTTACAGATGTTCTGACAGAGGGGGGGGGGGGTGTTACAGATGTTCTGACAGGGGGGGGTGTTACAGATGTTCTGACAGAGGGGGGGGGTGTTACAGATGTTCTGACAGAGGGGGGGGGGGGTGTTACAGATGTTCTGACAGAGGGGGGGGTGTTACAGATGTTCTGACAGAGGGGGGGGGGGGGTGTTACAGATGTTCTGACAGAGGGGGGGGGGGGGGGTGTTACAGATGTTCTGACAGAGGGGGGGGGGGGGGGGTGTTACAGATGTTCTGACAGAGGGGGGGGGGGGGTGTTACAGATGTTCTGACAGAGGGGGGGGGGGTGTTACAGATGTTCTGACAGAGGGGGGGGGGTGTTACAGATGTTCTGACAGAGGGGGGGGGGTGTTACAGATGTTCTGACAGAGGGGGGGGGGGTGTTACAGATGTTCTGACAGAGGGGGGGGGGGGTGTTACAGATGTTCTGACAGAGGGGGGGGGGTGTTACAGATGTTCTGACAGAGGGGGGGGGGTGTTACAGATGTTCTGACAGAGGGGGGGGGGGTGTTACAGATGTTCTGACAGAGGGGGGGGGTGTTACAGATGTTCTGACAGAGGGGGGGGGGGGTGTTACAGATGTTCTGACAGAGGGGGGGGGGGTGTTACAGATGTTCTGACAGAGGGGGGGGGGGGTGTTACAGATGTTCTGACAGAGGGGGGGGTGTTACAGATGTTCTGACAGAGGGGGGGGGGGGGGTGTTACAGATGTTCTGACAGAGGGGGGGGGGGGTGTTACAGATGTTCTGGGAGCAGAGACTCAAAGGTCTGAGATCTTCAGACGTCACAGAGGAACCAGTGAGGAGTATGAGACTGCCCCCTGAGCTGAGCTGTGAGTACTGCTATTGCTAATGCTACTGCTGCTACTACTACTACTACTACTAATGCTAATGCTACTGCTTCTTGTGCTCTATAGGCATTGGCCCCGCCCCCTCGGAGGACTGCCTTTTATGGTCCATTTCGTCGGCGCTGCACCTGAGCTCTGGACCAATCAGTGGGCAGCATTCCAATGCTGAGAGAAACCCCGCCCTCTGGATCAACTGCAGCCAACCACTGTGTCGCGGCTTCACCATCACCGACCAGCAGATCAGGTAGAGGCTAACGGCTAACCAGCAGATCAGGTAGAGGCTAACGGCTAACCAGCAGATCAGGTAGAGGCTAACGGCTAACCAGCAGATCAGGTAGAGGCTAACGGCTAACCAGCAGATCAGGTAGAGGCTAACGGCTAACCAGCAGATCAGGTAGAGGCTAACGGCTAACCAGCAGATCAGGTAACACCGAAGCTAACCATAATTGATTAGCACATAAAGTACAGGGTAAGAGCTAAGACAGGCTCTAACCGACCAGCACACAAGGTAGAGGGAGGAGATCTGTAGTTTTGTGCTCTGATTACAGGGAGCAGGAGGAGGTGGTGGAGGAGGTGCGCCGCTCGCTCGTCGATGCGCTCAGTGCAGACTCGATCGCCCGCATCACAGAGAGGAGAGAGAGGAGACGCTAACAAATCACAGAGCAGACACACACCGACCAATCACAGAGCAGACACACACCGACCAATCATAGAGCAGACACACACACACCAACCAATCACAGAGCAGACACACACACTGACAAATCACAGAGCAGACACACACACCGACCAATCACAGAGCAGACACACACACACCAACCAATCACAGAGCAGACACACACACTGACAAATCACAGAGCAGACACACACACCAACCAATCACAGAGCAGACACACACACACCGACCAATCACAGAGCAGACACACACACTGACAAATCACAGAGCAGACACACACACCGACCAATCACAGAGCAGACACACACACACCGACCAATCACAGAGCAGACACACACACACCGACCAATCACAGAGCAGACACACACACTGACAAATCACAGAGCAGACACACACACTGACAAATCACAGAGCAGACACACACACCGACCAATCACAGAGCAGACACACACACCGACCAATCACAGAGCAGATCCAGATTTTAATAAACTATTTTTCAGATTTTTTCTAACATTTGAGTTCATGATTCAAACAGACCAATCACAGAAAGACCCATTGTTCTGTTACGAGACTTTAAAGCTGGTGTACGTGACTTTAAAGCTGGGGTACGTGACACAGGGGCATGTGTGCAAATAATGAATGAACCTTGTTGTAATTATGCAAAATAGCTCTGGTTATGCAAATGAGCTGTGTGCGGTTGTCACGGTGACAGATCATTATGAAACGTATTTAAAGATTTTATACTTTTGTCTGATGCAAAATAAACACAAAATTATGACGTTTGTGTCTTTTGTTTAGAAGCACAGCCAACCACAGCACTTAGGAGCATGGCTAACCACAGCACAGTGTCTCACAGAAGACAAGAGTGTTTCCCAGTCTGAGAGTCACTGATCATGGTCTGTGTAGACGAGCTGCAGAACTGATTTCGACCACAAGAGGGAGCCACAGACCAGAGACCCCTTTATTATAATAGATCCATGGAGAGACCCTTTCTGGAACCCTTTGTGACGCTCAGTGAAACACAGGAGGAAGGGGTCAGTTTGAAAAGAACTTTATTCGTGTGGATGACGACAGCGTTTGGAGGCGACGCAGATGTAAAAATAGACCTGACTTTCACTTTCACTCTGTTTTTTTGTATAAAATTGTTTCCCTTTTGAGTCGGAGGTAAACGCGCCTCACTCACAGAATAAATAAACATATATTAATCTATTTCAAATATTAAAATAAAAAGAGACCAGAGAGAGTCCATAGAGAGGAGAAAGAGAGAGAGAGAGCAGAGAATAAACAGATCAGAGAGAGAGCAGAGAATAAACAGATCAGAGAGAGAGAGAGAGCAGAGAATAAACAGATCAGAGAGAGAGAGAGCAGAGAATAAACAGATCAGAGAGAGAGCAGAGAATAAACAGATCAGAGAGAGAGAGAGAGAGCAGAGAATAAACAGATCAGAGAGAGAGCAGAGAATAAACAGATCAGAGAGAGAGAGAGAGAGCAGAGAATAAACAGATCAGAGAGAGAGAGAGAGAGCAGAGAATAAACAGATCAGAGAGAGAGAGAGAGAGCAGAGAATAAACAGATCAGAGAGAGAGAGAGAGAGCAGAGAATAAACAGATCAGAGAGAGAGAGCAGAGAATAAACAGATCGGAGAGAGAGAGCAGAGAATAAACAGATCAGAGAGAGAGAGAGACCAGAGAATAAACAGATCAGAGAGAGAGAGAATAAACAGATCAGAGAGAGAGAGAGAGAGAGCAGAGAATAAACAGACCAGAGAGAGAGAGAGACTCGTTGCACTAACGAGGAAACCACATGTTTTTAATCACTTCATTTACAAATATTATCAAAACTCACAGTATTTTGGCACCGACTTAAAGTTTAGGTCCGAAAACGGAAAAAGCCACGTGTCTCTGCAGCTGGGCCCTGATTATGCTAATGAGTGTTATGCTAACGAGTGCAATGCTAATGAACCCTATGCTATTTAGCGCCAGGCTAATGAAGTGTGATATGCTAATGTGAGTTAAGATGACTTCTATGTAAACCGTGGACTGTATACAGATGGACAATGTAAACCTGGTAGCTCAATGCTAACCTGATAGCCTAAACCTAACCTGCTAGCTGAAAGCTAACATGCCGGCTCAATGGAGCCCAACGGGAAGTGCTCATGGTGAAGTTTCGCTCCAACTCTCTCTGGCTCACATGTAAAAGTAAACTAGCTGAGGAACTGCGTTACATTCACCATTCTGCAGAGTGTAACTTGTGGGTCAAATGCAGTCGTAAACATGTGGGTCAAATACAGAGACACGTGTCCTACACAGATGAAAAAGTTCAATCTATTCTAAAAATCTAAATATTGCAAAACTCGGACTCTCAGGGAAGAAACCACAGATCTGCATAGTAAGGGCTGTTACCAAGGAGACTGCGGCCATCTTGTGTTTGGTCGGACACGACCCAAGATGACGTGTTACCGTGGACACCAGCCCTGGTGCAGATCTGTGGAGGGAGAACAAAAGCTACACATGAGACAAAATGGCGGCGCTGCTTTGGCGAGTCCTCGGTGAAGACACAAAATGGCCGACGAGGTCACAGTCACCTGACGCCAACTCAGCGCAGATTTACGGAAGCTACGAATAAATATCACCAAGAGGGGGGCTAACGTTAGCTCCCAATGCTAACTCTCAACGCTAACATCCAGCACTAAAGCTGCTTGCTAACATCAGCGGCTAACATCCATCACTAACTCTTGTCTTGTTCTCATTTTCTCTCATTTGACTTTGGGCAACAACATCTCTGTGCGCTAGCTGTTGTTAGCTTCAGTTGTTAACTCCATGCTACGGTTGCTAGCTACCGTGGTTATCGCGGTGGAAGATGCAAACAAAGCTCTGAAAGTGTGTCATTTTGAAAGTACATTTAATTTTTTTCAGTTGAGTTTAAAATACAAAAATAAAAATAGAAAGTAAAGTATCGACCTCAAAAAGTACTTTCAAAATTACTTTTACTTTTGTACTTTGTTACATTCCACCTCCGGCCGTTAGCGACGGTTGATAGCTCTTTGAAGCCAACGTTAGCAGCAACAGCTTCGGCCGTGAGAGAGCCTTATGCTACCTGTTGTCGTTAGCTTCTGCGGCTAGCCTCAAGCTACAGTTACTAGCTCTTGAGGCTAGTGTTAGCGGCTAGCGTTAGCCCCGTTGTCAGAGTCTCTCTGTAAAACGAGTCCAGGCTCAGAGTTTTTTACAAATCAGTGGAAAAAGTGGCAGCGGCGGTGACGTCACAGTCTGTGGAGGGGGGCGGGGCTCACTGGGAAGGGGCGTGGTCCCTGTAAACGGGCGTGGCCTCTGCTCTAGAAGGCGGAGCCTGTGATGGCGTTCAGCTGCTGCATCAGTCCCTCCAGACTTGCCATCTGCTCCGAGAGGTCGTCCTGTTCATAGACCTGGAAGTTCAAGCACATGTTAGTACCAGTACTACTGCAAGCACATGTTAGTACCAGTACTACTGCAAGCACATGTTAGTACCAGTACTACTGCAAGCACATGTTAGTACCAGTACTACTGCAAGCACATGTTAGTACCAGTACTACTGCAAGTACATGTTAGTACCAGTACTACTGCAAGTACAAGTTAGTACCAGTACTACTGCAAGTACAAGTTAGTACCAGTACTACTGCAAGTACAAGTTAGTACCAGTACTACTGCAAGTACAAGTTAGTACCAGTACTACTGCAAGTACAAGTTAGTACCAGTACTACTGCAAGTACAAGTTAGTACCAGTACTACTGCAAGTACAAGTTAGTACCAGTACTACTGCAAGTACAAGTTAGTACCAGGAACTTCTGAAAGTACGTGTTAGTACAAGTGCTACTGCAAGTATGTGTTTTATCTAGTACTAAAACAAGTAATGCTACCTTAGCAAGTACTACTAATAAAACTACTGCAAGTATTACTACAACTACTACTGCAAGTACTACTGCAATTACTACTGCAGGTACTACTCAAAGTTAGGTTTATTTATATAGCACATTTCACAGCACTGGCAGCTCTCCTGTGACTCAGAGAGTATGTGACTCACGTTAGCTCCGCCCTCGTCCCCTTTGGCTCCGCCCTCTTCCTGCAGTTCGGGCGCCGTGGGCACTGATACGGGCAGAAGTGGCGAGCGTGCTTTCCCGCCCAAACCCAGGGAGGCCGTCTTCACCAGCGAGCTCACTGCAGAAGAAGAGTGTTCCAGTGTGAGCGACCTGCAGCTGAGTTTATCTCCCTCCACGCTCCCCCCGCCCTTTCTGTCTCACCGCTCTGTTTTCAAACTGCAGCAGGGACGGACTTACACACAGACATCATCTTTCATCCTAATGTGTGTACGTGTGTGAGTCAATGTGTATCTGTGTGTGTGCGTATGTCTCTGTGTGTGTGTGTGCGTATGTCTGTGTGTGTGTGTATGTCTCTGTGTGTGTGCGTATGTCTCTGTGTGTGTGCGTATGTCTCTGTGTGTGCGTATGTCTCTGTGTGTGTGTATGTCTCTGTGTGTGTGCGTATGTCTCTGTGTGTGTGTGTATGTCTCTGTGTGTGTGCGTATGTCTCTGTGTGTGCGTATGTCTCTGTGTGTGCGTATGTCTCTGTGTGTGTGTATGTCTCTGTGTGTGTGCGTATGTCTCTGTGTGTGTGTATGTCTCTGTGTGTGTGCGTATGTCTCTGTGTGTGCGTATGTCTCTGTGTGTGCGTATGTCTCTGTGTGTGCGTATGTCTCTGTGTGTGTGCGTATGTCTCTGTGTGTGTGCTGTGTCGTATGTCTCTGTGTGTGTGCGTATGTCTCTGTGTGTGCGTATGTCTCTGTGTGCGTATGTCTCTGTGTGTGCGTATGTCTCTGTGTGTGTGCGTATGTCTCTGTGTGTGTGCGTATGTCGTATGTCTCTGTGTGTGTGCGTGTATGTCTCTGTGTGTGTGTATGTCTCTGTGTGTGTGCGTATGTCTCTGTGTGTGCGTATGTCTCTGTGTGTGCGTATGTCTCTGTGTGTGTGTATGTCTCTGTGTGTGTGCGTATGTCTCTGTGTGTGCGTATGTCTCTGTGTGTGTGCGTATGTCTCTGTGTGTGTGTGTATGTCTCTGTGTGTGTGCGTATGTCTCTGTGTGTGTGTATGTCTCTGTGTGTGTGCGTATGTCTCTGTGTGTGCGTATGTCTCTGTGTGTGTGCGTATGTCTCTGTGTGTGTGTATGTCTCTGTGTGTGTGCGTATGTCTCTGTGTGTGTGCGTATGTCTCTGTGTGTGTGCGTATGTCTCTGTGTGTGGGCGTATGTCTCTGTGTGTGTGCGTATGTCTCTGTGTGTGCGTATGTCTCTGTGTGTGCGTATGTCTCTGTGTGTGTGCGTATGTCTCTGTGTGTGCGTATGTCTCTGTGTGTGCGTATGTCTCTGTGTGTGTGTATGTCTCTGTGTGTGTGCGTATGTCTCTGTGTGTGCGTATGTCTCTGTGTGTGCGTATGTCTCTGTGTGTGTGCGTATGTCTCTGTGTGTGTGCGTATGTCTCTGTGTGTGTGCGTATGTCTCTGTGTGTGTGCGTATGTCTCTGTGTGTGTGCGTATGTCTCTGTGTGTGTGCGTATGTCTCTTTGTGTGTGTGTGCGTATGTCTCTGTGTGTGTGTGCGTATGTCTCTTGTGTGTGCGTATGTCTCTGTGTGTGCGTATGTCTCGTGTGTGTGCGTATGTCTCTGTGTGTGTGCGTATGTCTCTGTGTGTGTGCGTATGTCTCTGTGTGTGTGCGTATGTCTCTGTGTGTGCGTATGTCTCTGTGTGTGCGTATGTCTCTGTGTGTGCGTATGTCTCTGTGTGTGCGTATGTCTCTCTGTGTGTGCGTATGTCTCTGTGTGTGCGTATGTCTCTGTGTGTGCGTATGTCTCTGTGTGTGCGTATGTCTCTGTGTGTGTGCGTATGTCTCTGTGTGTGTGCGTATGTCTCTTGTGTGTGTGCGTATGTCTCTGTGTGTGTGCGTATGTCTCTGTGTGTGTGCGTATGTCTCTGTGTGTGTGCGTATGTCTCTGTGTGTGTGCGTATGTCTCTGTGTGTGTGCGTATGTCTCTGTGTGTGTGCGTATGTCTCTGTGTGTGTGCGTATGTCTCTGTGTGTGTGCGTATGTCTCTGTGTGTGCATGTGTGTGTGCGTATGTCTCTGTGTGTGTGCGTATGTCTCTGTGTGTGTGCGTATGTCTCTGTGTGTGTGCGTATGTCTCTGTGTGTGTGCGTATGTCTCTGTGTGTGCGTATGTCTCTGTGTGTGTGCGTATGTCTCTGTGTGTGTGCGTATGTCTCTGTGTGTGTGCGTATGTCTCTGTGTGTGTGCGTATGTCTCTGTGTGTGTGTGCGTATGTCTGTTGTGTGTGTGTGCGTATGTCTCTGTGTGTGTGCGTATGTCTCTGTGTGTGCGTATGTCTCTGTGTGTGTCTCTGTGTGTGTGCGTATGTCTCTGTGTGTGTGCGTATGTCTCTGTGTGTGTGCGTATGTCTCTGTGTGTGTGCGTATGTCTCGTGTGTGTGTGCGTATGTTGTCTCTGTGTGTGTGCGTATGTCTCTGTGTGTGCGTATGTCTCTGTGTGTGTATGTCTCTGTGTGTGCGTATGTCTCTGTGTGTGTGCGTATGTCTCTGTGTGTGTGTGCGTATGTCTCTGTGTGTGTGCGTATGTCTCTGTGTGTGTGCGTATGTCTCTGTGTGTGTGCGTATGTCTCTGTGTGTGCGTATGTCTCTGTGTGTGTGCGTATGTCTCTGTGTGTGTGCGTATGTCTCTGTGTGTGTGCGTATGTCTCTGTGTGTGCGTATGTCTCTGTGTGTGCGTATGTCTCTGTGTGTGTGCGTATGTCTCTGTGTGTGTGCGTATGTCTCTGTGTGTGTGTGCGTATGTCTCTGTGTGTGTGCGTATGTCTCTGTGTGTGCGTATGTCTCTGTGTGTGTGCGTATGTCTCTGTGTGTGTGCGTATGTCTCTGTGTGTGTGTGTATGTCTCTGTGTGTGTGCGTATGTCTCTGTGTGTTTGTGTGTGTATGTCTCTGTGTGTGTGTATGTCTCTGTGTGTGTGCGTATGTCTCTGTGTGTGTGCGTATGTCCTCTGTGTGTGCGTATGTCTCTGTGTGTGTGCGTATGTCTCTGTGTGTGCGTATGTCTCTGTGTGTGTGTATGTCTTGTGTGTGCGTATGTCTCTGTGTGTGTGTGTGCGTATGTCTCTGTGTGTGTGCGTATGTCTCTTGTGTGTGTGTCGTATGTCTCTGTGTGTGTGTGTGTATGTCTATGTCCTGTGTGTGTGTATGTCTCTGTGTGTGTGCGTATGTCTCTGTGTGTTTGTGTGTGTATGTCTCTGTGTGTGTGCGTATGTCTGTATGTGTGTGTATGTCTCTGTGTGTGTGTGTGTATGTCTCTGTGTGTGTGCGTATGTCTGTGTGTGTGTGTATGTCTCTGTGTGTGCGTATGTCTCTGTGTGTGTGTGTATGTCTCTGTGTGTGCGTATGTCTCTGTGTGTGTGCGTATGTCTCTGTGTGTGTGTGTATGTCTCTGTGTGTGTGCGTATGTCTCTGTGTGTGTGTGCGTATGTCTCTGTGTGTGTGCGTATGTCTCTGTGTGTGTGCGTATGTCTCTGTGTGTGTGCGTATGTTCTGTGTGTGCGTATGTCTCTGTGTGTGCGTATGTCTCTGTGTGTGTGTGTATGTCTCTGTGTGTGTGTGTGTATGTCTCTGTGTGTGTGCGTATGTCTCTGTGTGTGTGTGTATGTCTCTGTGTGTGCGTATGTCTCTGTGTGTGTGTGTGTATGTCTCTGTGTGTGTGCGTATGTCTCTGTGTGTGCGTATGTCTCTGTGTGTGTGCGTATGTCTCTGTGTGTGCGTATGTCTCTGTGTGTGTGTGTGTATGTCTCTGTGTGTGCGTATGTCTCTGTGTGTGTGTGTGTATGTCTCTGTGTGTGCGTATGTCTCTGTGTGTGTGTGTATGTCTTGTTGGCTTGTGTGGTATGTCTTGTGTGTGGTATGTGTGTGTGTGCGTATGTCTCTGTGTGTGTGTGGTATGTCTCTGTGTGTGTGTGTATGTCTCTGTGTGTGGTATGTCTCTTGTGTGTGGTAGTGTGTGTGTATGTCTCTGTGTGTGCGTATGTCTCTGTGTGTGTGCGTATGTCTCTGTGTGTGTATGTCTCTGTGTGTGTGTATATGTCTCTGTGTGTGCGTATGTCTCTGTGTGTGTGTGTGTATGTCTCTGTGTGTGCGTATGTCTCTGTGTGTGTGTGTGTGTGTATGTCTCTCTGTGTGTGCGTATGTCTCTGTGTGTGTGCGTATGTCTCTGTGTGTGCGTATGTCTCTGTGTGTGTGTGTATGTCTCTGTGTGTGCGTATGTCTGTGTGTGTGTGTATGTCTCTGTGTGTGCGTATATCTCTGTGTGTGTGTATGTCTCTGTGTGTGTTCCTACATTATTTCACATTCAATAACTTCTCATTTTCCTGTTTCACACTGGACTTGGGGGAGGAGCTTAAATCAGGAGGAGCCTAAATCGTACCGTTGACGGTTGCCGCAGCGGCATGTGGCGTGCAGTGGGCGGAGCCTGAGGTGAAGCTCCGCAGGGGGTGGGACGGTCTTACGCACGCTGTGGGGATGGTCCTGGCCCCACCTCCTTCCTCTGATGAGGCCACGCCCATCGGAGACACAACCACGCCCACCGCTGCAACCAACGAGGACTCTGGAGGCGGGGCCTGTTGAGGCTGCAGCGGATTGGCCGACGGCTCTGAGGTCATTGCTGTCAGTGGAGACAGGAAACGGAAACACAAAAAGTGATGACGTAATTTTTCAAAGACAGTGTGAGCATTAGCATCAGTGTTATTATGAGCATCAATGTTAGCATTAGCATTAGTGTAAGCGTTAGCATAAGCATTAACATTAGCATCAGTGTGGGCATTAGAATCTGTGTTATTATGAGCATCGATGTTAGCATTAGCAATAGTGTAAGTTAGCATAAGCATTAACATTAGCATCAGTGTGGGCATTAGAATCTGTGTTATTATGAGCATCGATGTTTATTTTATTTTTATTTAATAGTTTATTTGAATAGGGACGATACACATTAATCAACATTGCTGTAAATGTGTCAGTATTAGCTAACAGCTAGTTTCCAACTGTAGTCCCTAGGCAAGGTGTAAAATGCCATCAAAGTGCACTGCAAAAAATTACAATGTTACAATGTTAGCATTAGCATCAGCATTAGCTTCAGCGTGAGTGATTGTAAAAATACTGCTTCAATTAATAAAATCAATCAATCAAACGAGGTTAGCATAAGCATTAGCATAGATATTAACATACGTGTTAGCACTAGCTCACCTGGACTGAACCGCTCCACGCTCAGGCTGGGGAAGGGCATCTGCCGCAGACTGAACTTGTTGAATCCACAGGACGGAGACTGGAGCAGAGACGGGAACTGTGTGTCAAACTGGGGGTCCAGGGCCACAGCGCTGACCACGGCTGCCATGGCAACGAGAGACAAGAAACACGGTCAGACAACCTCATTAGTGATTGTCTGTGTGTGTCTGTGTGTGTGTGTCTGTGTGTCTCTGTGTGTGAGCATGTCTGTGTGTATGTATGTGTGTGTGTGTGTCTGTGTGTATGTATGTGTGTGTGTCTCTGTGTGAGCGTGTCTGTGTGTGTGTGCGTGTCTGTGTGTGTCTCTGTGTGAGCGTGTCTGTGTGTGTGAGCGTGTCTGTGTGTGTGTGTGGGTGTCTCTGTGTGTGAGCGTGTCTGTGTGTGTGTGTGTGTGTCTGTGTGTGTGTGTCTGTGTGAGCGTGTCTGTGTGTGTGTGCGTGTCTGTGTGTGTCTCTGTGTGAGCGTGTCTGTGTGTGTGAGCGTGTCTGTGTGTGTCTCTGTGTGTGAGCGTGTCTGTGTGTGTGTGTGTGTCTGTGTGTGTCTCTGTGTGTGAGCGTGTCTGTGTGTGTCTCTGTGTGTGAGCGTGTCTGTGTGTGTGTGTGTGTCTGTGTGTGTCTCTGTGTGTGAGCGTGTCTGTGTGTGTCTCTGTGTGTGAGCGTGTTGTGTGTGTGTGTGTCTGTGTGTGTCTCTGTGTGAGCGTGTCTGTGTGTGTCTCTGTGTGTGAGCGTGTCTGTGTGTGTGTGTGTCTGTGTGTGTCTCTGTGTGAGCGTGTCTGTGTGTGTGTGTGTGTGTGTGTGTGTGTGTGTGTCTCTGTCTCTGTGTGTGAGCGTGTCTGTGTGTGTGTGTGTCTGTGTGTATGTATGTGTGTGTGTCTCTGTGTGTGAGCGTGTCTGTGTGTGTGTCTGTGTGTGTCTCTGTGTGAGCGTGTCTGTGTGTGTGTGTGTGTCTCTGTGTGAGCGTGTCTGTGTGTGTGTGTGTGTGTGTGTGTGTGTGCGCCTGTGTGTCTCACGTGTGTTACTCGGCTGCTCCATAGGGATCATCATTTTTCCTCTAGTTCCTCGTCTGGCCCCCAGAGAGCGCTCTAGAGTAGAGATGGCACTGGAGACGTCATCTGCATCCGCCCCTGAAGAAGAGACATGGCCCCGATCAGACAATGCTAACCCGCTAACTTAATGCTAATCTGCTTGCTCAATGCTAACTCGCTAGCTCAATGTTAACCCACTAGCTCAATGCTAATCTGCTTACTTAATGTTAATCCACTTGCTAACTGCTAATCCACTAGCCTAATGCTAACCTGCTAGCTAAATGCACATCTGCTTTCTCAATGCTAACCCACTAGCTTAATGCCAACCTACTAGCTCATTGCTAACATACTATCTTAATTCTAACCTCTCAGCTAAATGCTAACCTGCTAGTTCAATTTTAACCCACTAGCTCAATGCTAACATGCTAGTTCAATGCTAACCCACTAGCTCTATGTTAACATGCTAGCTCAATGCTAACCTGCTAGTTTAATGGTAACATGCTAGTTCAATGCTAACCCATTAGCTCAATGCTAACCTCCTACTTCAACTACCACCCCCTGTGAGAAGGTGGTGAGCGAACATTCACCTGAGTGGCTGCTCTTGCTTCCCAGCTGGCTCTCTGATTGGCTGAGGGGTGGTGGGGGGCGGTCCTGGACGGTTTGAATGGGCGAATCAGATGGCGCGACATCGCGAGGCTGGTCCATGGTCTTCATCTCCATCTCCTCGTGGTGGATCCATAGGTCTGGAGGACGCAGCTCCTTCTGGCTGCCCACTCGCTTAGCACTGCCACGCATCCTGAGAGAGACCAGGAATCAGAGACCAGGAATCAGAGACCAGAGACCAGAGACCAGGAATCAGAGACCAGAGACCAGAGACCAGGAATCAGAGACCAGAGACCAGGAATCAGAGACCAGAGACCAGGAATCAGAGACCAGAGACCAGGAATCAGAGACCAGAGACCAGGAATCAGAGACCAGAGACCAGAGACCAGGAATCAGAGACCAGGAATCAGAGACCAGAGACCAGAGACCAGAGACCAGAGACCAGGAATCAGAGACCAGAGACCAGGGATCAGAGACCAGAGACCAGGAATCAGAGACCAGAGACCAGGGACCAGAGACCAGGAATCAGAGACCAGAGACCAGAGACCAGGAATCAGAGACCAGAGACCAGGGATCAGAGACCAGGGACCAGAGACCAGGAATCAGAGACCAGAGACCAGGAATCAGAGACCAGAGACCAGGAATCAGAGACCAGAGACCAGGGATCAGAGACCAGAGACCAGGAATCAGAGACCAGGAATCAGAGACCAGGGACCAGAGACCAGGAATCAGAGACCAGAGACCAGGAATCAGAGACCAGAGACCAGGGATCAGAGACCAGGGACCAGAGACCAGGAATCAGAGACCAGAGACCAGAGACCAGGAATCAGAGACCAGAGACCAGGGATCAGAGACCAGAGACCAGGAATCAGAGACCAGAGACCAGGAATCAGAGACCAGAGACCAGGAATCAGAGACCAGAGACCAGGAATCAGAGACCAGAGACCAGGAATCAGAGACCAGGAATCAGAGACCAGAGACCAGGAATCAGAGACCAGAGACCAGGAATCAGAGACCAGAGACCAGAGACCAGGAATCAGAGACCAGAGACCAGGAATCAGAGACCAGAGACCAGGGATCAGAGACCAGGGATCAGAGACCAGAGACCAGAGACCAGGAATCAGAGACCAGAGACCAGGGATCAGAGACCAGAGACCAGAGACCAGGGATCAGAGACCAGAGACCAGGAATCAGAGACCAGAGACCAGGAATCAGAGACCAGAGACCAGGAATCAGAGACCAGGAATCAGAGACCAGAGACCAGGAATCAGAGACCAGAGACCAGAGACCAGGAATCAGAGACCAGAGACCAGGAATCAGAGACCAGAGACCAGGAATCAGAGACCAGGGACCAGAGACCAGGGACCAGAGACCAGGGACCAGGGACCAGGGACCAGGGACCAGAGACCAGAGACCAGGGACCAGGGACCAGAGACCAGAGACCAGGAATCAGAGACCAGAGACCAGAGACCAGGAATCAGAGACCAGAGACCAGGAATCAGAGACCAGAGACCAGAGACCAGGAATCAGAGACCAGGGACCAGGGACCAGAGACCAGGGACCAGAGACCAGGAATCAGAGACCAGAGACCAGGAATCAGAGACCAGAGACCAGGGATCAGAGACCAGAGACCAGGAATCAGAGACCAGAGACCAGGAATCAGAGACCAGAGACCAGGAATCAGAGACCAGGAATCAGAGACCAGGAATCAGAGACCAGGAATCAGAGACCAGAGACCAGGAATCAGAGACCAGAGACCAGAGACCAGGAATCAGAGACCAGAGACCAGGAATCAGAGACCAGAGACCAGGAATCAGAGACCAGGAATCAGAGACCAGAGACCAGGAATCAGAGACCAGGAATCAGAGACCAGAGACCAGGAATCAGAGACCAGGAATCAGAGACCAGAGACCAGGAATCAGAGACCAGAGACCAGGAATCAGAGACCAGGGACCAGAGACCAGGGACCAGGGACCAGGGACCAGGGACCAGGGACCAGAGACCAGGGACCAGGGACCAGAGACCAGAGACCAGGGACCAGGGACCAGAGACCAGGGACCAGAGACCAGGAATCAGAGACCAGAGATCAGGAATCAGAGACCAGAGACCAGGGATCAGAGACCAGAGACCAGAGACCAGGAATCAGAGACCAGGAATCAGAGACCAGAGACCAGGAATCAGAGACCAGAGACCAGGAATCAGAGACCAGAGACCAGAGACCAGGAATCAGCGACCAGAGACCAGGAATCAGAGACCAGAGACCAGAGACCAGAGACCAGAGACCAGGAATCAGAGACCAGAGACCAGGAATCAGAGACCAGAGACCAGGAATCAGAGACCAGAGACCAGGAATCAGAGACCAGAGACCAGGAATCAGAGACCAGGAATCAGAGACCAGAGACCAGAGACCAGGGATCAGAGACCAGGGATCAGAGACCAGAGACCAGGAATCAGAGACCAGAGACCAGGGATCAGAGACCAGAGACCAGAGACCAGGGATCAGAGACCAGGGATCAGAGACCAGGGATCAGAGACCAGAGACCAGGAATCAGAGACCAGAGACCAGGAATCAGAGACCAGAGACCAGGAATCAGAGACCAGAGACCAGAGACCAGGAATCAGAGACCAGAGACCAGAGACCAGGAATCAGAGACCAGAGACCAGAGACCAGGAATCAGAGACCAGAGACCAGGAATCAGAGACCAGAGACCAGGAATCAGAGACCAGAGACCAGAGACCAGGAATCAGAGACCAGAGACCAGGGATCAGACACCAGAGACCAGAGACCAGGAATCAGAGACCAGAGACCAGGGATCAGAGACCAGGAATCAGAGACCAGGAATCAGAGACCAGAGACCAGAGACCAGGAATCAGAGACCAGAGACCAGGGATCAGAGACCAGAGACCAGGAATCAGAGACCAGGAATCAGAGACCAGAGACCAGGAATCAGAGACCAGGAATCAGAGACCAGAGACCAGGAATCAGAGACCAGAGACCAGGAATCAGAGACCAGAGACCAGGAATCAGAGACCAGAGACCAGAGACCAGGAATCAGAGACCAGAGACCAGGAAGCAGAGACCAGAGACCAGAGACCAGGGATCAGAGACCAGGGATCAGAGACCAGAGACCAGAGACCAGGAATCAGAGACCAGGGATCAGAGACCAGAGACCAGGAATCAGAGACCAGAGACCAGGAATCAGAGACCAGAGACCAGGGACCAGAGACCAGAGACCAGGGATCAGAGACCAGGGATCAGAGACCAGAGACCAGGAATCAGAGACCAGAGACCAGGAATCAGAGACCAGAGACCAGGAATCAGAGACCAGGAATCAGAGACCAGGAATCAGAGACCAGAGACCAGAGACCAGGAATCAGAGACCAGAGACCAGGAATCAGAGACCAGAGACCAGAGACCAGGGACCAGAGACCAGAGACCAGAGACCAGGAATCAGAGACCAGGAATCAGAGACCAGAGACCAGGGATCAGAGACCAGGAATCAGAGACCAGAGACCAGGAATCAGAGACCAGAGACCAGGAATCAGAGACCAGAGACCAGGAATCAGGAATCAGAGACCAGAGACCAGGAATCAGAGACCAGAGACCAGGAATCAGAGACCAGAGACCAGAGACCAGGAATCAGAGACCAGAGACCAGGAATCAGAGACCAGAGACCAGGGATCAGAGACCAGGGATCAGAGACCAGAGACCAGGAATCAGAGACCAGAGACCAGGGATCAGAGACCAGAGACCAGAGACCAGAGACCAGGGATCAGAGACCAGGGATCAGAGACCAGAGACCAGGAATCAGAGACCAGGAATCAGAGACCAGGAATCAGAGACCAGAGACCAGAGACCAGGAATCAGAGACCAGAGACCAGGAATCAGAGACCAGAGACCAGAGACCAGGGACCAGAGACCAGAGACCAGAGACCAGGAATCAGAGACCAGGAATCAGAGACCAGAGACCAGGGATCAGAGACCAGGAATCAGAGACCAGAGACCAGGAATCAGAGACCAGAGACCAGGAATCAGAGACCAGAGACCAGGAATCAGGAATCAGAGACCAGAGACCAGGAATCAGAGACCAGAGACCAGGAATCAGAGACCAGAGACCAGAGACCAGGAATCAGAGACCAGAGACCAGGAATCAGAGACCAGAGACCAGGGATCAGAGACCAGGGATCAGAGACCAGAGACCAGGAATCAGAGACCAGAGACCAGGGATCAGAGACCAGAGACCAGAGACCAGAGACCAGGGATCAGAGACCAGGGATCAGAGACCAGAGACCAGGAATCAGAGACCAGAGACCAGGAATCAGAGACCAGAGACCAGGAATCAGAGACCAGAGACCAGGAATCAGAGACCAGAGACCAGGAATCAGAGACCAGAGACCAGGAATCAGAGACCAGAGACCAGGAATCAGAGACCAGAGACCAGGAATCAGAGACCAGGGACCAGAGACCAGGGACCAGAGACCAGGGACCAGGGACCAGGGACCAGAGACCAGAGACCAGGGACCAGGAATCAGAGACCAGAGACCAGGAATCAGAGACCAGAGACCAGGAATCAGAGATCAGAGACCAGGGACCAGGGACCAGAGACCAGGGACCAGAGACCAGGAATCAGAGACCAGAGACCAGGAATCAGAGACCAGAGACCAGGGATCAGAGACCAGAGACCAGAGACCAGGAATCAGAGACCAGAGACCAGGAATCAGAGACCAGAGACCAGAGACCAGGAATCAGAGACCAGAGACCAGGAATCAGAGACCAGAGACCAGGAATCAGAGACCAGAGACCAGGAATCAGAGACCAGAGACCAGAGACCAGGAATCAGAGACCAGAGACCAGGAATCAGAGACCAGAGACCAGGAATCAGAGACCAGAGACCAGGAATCAGAGACCAGAGACCAGGAATCAGAGACCAGAGACCAGAGACCAGGAAACAGAGACCAGAGACCAGGAATCAGAGACCAGGAATCAGAGACCAGGAATCAGAGACCAGAGACCAGGAATCAGAGACCAGAGACCAGAGACCAGGAATCAGAGACCAGAGACCAGAGACCAGGAATCAGAGACCAGAGACCAGGAATCAGAGACCAGGGACCAGAGACCAGGGACCAGAGACCAGGGACCAGGGACCAGGGACCAGAGACCAGAGACCAGGGACCAGGGACCAGAGACCAGAGACCAGGGACCAGGGACCAGGGACCAGGGACCAGAGACCAGGGACCAGAGACCAGGAATCAGAGACCAGAGACCAGAGACCAGGAATCAGAGACCAGAGACCAGGGATCAGAGACCAGAGACCAGGAATCAGAGACCAGAGACCAGAGACCAGGAATCAGAGACCAGAGACCAGGAATCAGAGACCAGAGACCAGAGACCAGGAATCAGAGACCAGAGACCAGGAATCAGAGACCAGAGACCAGGAATCAGAGACCAGAGACCAGGAATCAGAGACCAGAGACCAGAGACCAGGAATCAGAGACCAGGAATCAGAGACCAGAGACCAGGAATCAGAGACCAGAGACCAGGAATCAGAGACCAGAGACCAGGAATCAGAGACCAGAGACCAGGAATCAGAGACCAGAGACCAGGAATCAGAGACCAGAGACCAGGAATCAGAGACCAGAGACCAGAGACCAGGAATCAGAGACCAGAGACCAGAGACCAGGAATCAGAGACCAGAGACCAGGGACCAGGGACTGTTGGGAACAGCGTGATCTTACTTCCTCTGGTGGGCGGAGCTGCGTCTGGTGCAGATCATCACCACGACGACGACCGTCACCAAACTGAGGGCTCCCACCGACACCAGCACCAGGAGCAGCATTTGAGAGCTCCTCTGCGGCTTCATCTGTCCCACAGGGGGCGCTGCGGCACACCAGCAACAGTTACTATGGTTACTACAGCTCTGTCACATGATGCTAACTCTGTAGTCACATGATGCTAACTCTGTAGTCACATGATGCTAACTCTGTAGCCACATGATGCTAACTCTGTAGTCACATGATGCTAACTCTGTAGTCACATGATGCTAACTCTGTAGCCACATGATGCTAACTCTGTAGTCACATGATGCTAACTCTGTAGTCACATGATGCTAACTCTGTAGTCACATGATGCTAACACTGTAGTCACATGATGCTAACTCTGTAGTCACATGATGCTAACACTTTAGTCACATGATGCTAACACTGTAGTCACATGATGCTAACACTGTAGTCACATGATGCTAACACTGTAGCCACATGATGCTAACACTGTAGTCACATGATGCTAACACTGTAGCCACATGATGCTAACACTGTAGCCACATGATGCTAACACTATAGTCACATGATGCTAACACTGTAGTCACATGATGCTAACTCTGTAGTCACATGATGCTAACTCTGTAGTCACATGATGCTAACACTGTAGTCACATGATGCTAACTCTGTAGTCACATGATGCTAACTCTGTAGTCACATGATGCTAACTCTGTAGTCACATGATGCTAACTCTGTAGTCACATGATGCTAACTCTGTAGTCACATGATGCTAACTCTGTAGTCACATGATGCTAACTCTGTAGTCACATGATGCTAACTCTGTAGTCACATGATGCTAACTCTGTAGTCACATGATGCTAACTCTGTAGTCACATGATGCTAACTCTGTAGTGCACATGATGCTAACTCTGTAGTCACATGATGCTAACTCTGTAGTCACATGATGCTAAACTCTGTAGTCACATGATGCTAACTCTGTAGTCACATGATGCTAACTCTGTAGTCACATGATGCTAACTCTGTAGTCACATGATGCTAACTCTGTAGTCACATGATGCTAACTCTGTAGTCACATGATGCTAACTCTGTAGTCACATGATGCTAACTCTGTAGTCACATGATGCTAACTCTGTAGTCACATGATGCTAACTCTGTAGTCACATGATGCTAACACTGTAGTCACATGATGCTAACACTGTAGTCACATGATGCTAACTCTGTAGTCACATGATGCTAACACTGTAGTCACATGATGCTAACTCTGTAGTCACATGATGCTAACTCTGTAGTCACATGATGCTAACACTGTAGTCACATGATGCTAACACTTTAGTCACATGATGCTAACACTGTAGTCACATGATGCTAACACTTTAGTCACATGATGCTAACACTTTAGTCACATGATGCTAACTCTGTAGTCACATGATGCTAACTCTGTAGTCACATGATGCTAACTCTGTAGTCACATGATGCTAACTCTGTAGTCACATGATGCTAACACTGTAGTCACATGATGCTAACACTGTAGTCACATGATGCTAACACTGTAGTCACATGATGCTAACTCTGTAGTCACATGATGCTAACTCTGTAGTCACATGATGCTAACTCTGTAGTCACATGATGCTAACTCTGTAGTCACATGATGCAGTTGCTGACAATAGCAGAAAAAGCTCTTCAGTACCGTTGATGTTGCTGCGGTCCATGTGGGTGCTGTCCGGGTGCCAGTACGGGTGCTCTCCGCCGCGGCCTGAAAAGAACATGATGGGACAGGAGTCATGACGGGCAGACTGTGATTGGACGGTAGACAGAAGGGGCGGGGACACACTTACCCTGGTCGTTGGGCATCTTGTCCGGATTCTCTGCTGAAAATGGATAAAGTCATTATCCTGCAGTAAACAAATATCTCTGGTCTCTCTCTGGTCTCTCTCTGGTCTCTCTCTGGTGTCTCTCTGGTCTCTCTCTAGTCTCTCTGGTCTCTCTCTGGTCTCTCTCTGGTCTCTCTCTCTGGTCTCTCTCTCTGGTCTCTCTCTGGTCTCTCTCTCTGGTCTCTCTCTGGTCTCTCTCTTGTCTCTCTTGTCTCTCTGGTGTCTCTCTGGTCCCTCTCTGGTCTCTCTCTGGTCTCTCTCTCTGGTCTCTCTCTCTGGTGTCTCTCTGGTCCCTCTCTGGTCTCTCTTGTCTCTCTGGTCTCTCTCTGGTCTCTCTCTGGTCTCTCTCTCTGGTCTCTCTCTCTGGTCTCTCTCTGGTCTCTCTCTGGTCTCTCTCTGGTCTCTCTCTGGTCTCTCTCTTGTCTCTCTTGTCTCTCTGGTGTCTCTCTGGTCCCTCTCTGGTCTCTCTCTGGTCTCTCTCTGGTCTCTCTCTCTGGTCTCTCTCTGGTCTCTCTCTCTGGTCTCTCTCTCTCTGGTCTCTCTCTGGTCTCTCTCTGGTCTCTCTCTCTGGTGTCTCTCTGGTCCCTCTCTGGTCTCTCTTGTCTCTCTGGTCTCTCTCTGGTCTCTCTCTGGTCTCTCTCTGGTTCTCTCTCTCTGGTCTCTCTCTGGTCTCTCTCTGGTCTCTGGTCTCTCTCTAGTCTCTGGTCTCTCTGGTCTCTCTCTGGTCTCTCTCTGGTCTCTCTCTGGTCTCTCTCTGGTCTCTCTCTCTGGTCTCTCTCTCTGGTCTCTCTCTGGTCTCTCTCTTGTCTCTCTCTGCTCTCTCTCTGGTCTCTCTCTGGTCTCTCTCTCTGGTCTCTCTCTCTGGTCTCTCTCTCTGGTCTCTCTCTCTGGTCTCTGGTCTCTGGTCTCTGGTCCCTGGTCCCTGGTCCCGGTCCCTGGTCTCTGGTCCCGGTCCCTGGTCACTGGTCCCGGTCCCCGGTCTCCGGTCTCCGGTCTCCGGTCTCCGGTCTCTGGTCCCTGGTCTCTGGTCCCTGGTCCCTGGTCTCTGGTCTCTGGTCTCTGGTCCCTGGTCTCTGGTCTCTGGTCCCTGGTCTCTGGTCCCGGTCCCTGGTCCCTGGTCCCTGGTCTCCGGTCTCCGGTCTCCGGTCTCCGGTCTCCGGTCTCCGGTCCCCGGTCCCGGTCTCCGGTCCCGGTCTCCGGTCTCTGGTCCCTGGTCCCTGGTCTCTGGTCTCTGGTCCCTGGTCTCTGGTCTCTGGTCCCGGTCCCTGGTCCCTGGTCCCGGTCCCTGGTCTCCGGTCTCCGGTCTCCGGTCTCCGGTCTCCGGTCTCCGGTCCCCGGTCTCCGGTCCCCGGTCCCCGGTCTCTGGTCCCTGGTCCCTGGTCTCTGGTCTCTGGTCCCTGGTCTCTGGTCTCTGGTCCCTGGTCTCTGGTCCCGGTCCCTGGTCCCTGGTCCCGGTCCCTGGTCTCCGGTCTCCGGTCTCCGGTCTCCGGTCCCCGGTCTCTGGTCCCTGGTCCCTGGTCTCTGGTCTCTGGTCTCTGGTCCCTGGTCTCTGGTCACGGTCCCTGGTCCCTGGTCCCGGTCCCTGGTCTCCGGTCTCCGGTCTCCGGTCCCCGGTCTCCGGTCCCCGGTCCCCGGTCTCTGGTCCCTGGTCCCTGGTCTCTGGTCTCTGGTCCCGGTCCCTGGTCCCGGTCCCTGGTCCCTGGTCCCGGTCCCTGGTCTCCGGTCTCCGGTCTCCGGTCTCTGGTCTCCGGTCTCCGGTCCCTGGTCTCCGGTCTCTGGTCCCGGGTCTCACCTCTGGCGGTCCGGAACCCTACAGCCTCAGACAGTGGTCCCAGGCCTTTGCTGTTCTTGGCCTGGATCCTGAAGTGGTACAGAGAGTCTGGGTTCAGGTCCAGGACCATGTGAGTCAGTCGGTCACCAGGAATCAGCTCCATAGTCCAGTCATCGATGGGCGTGGCCTTCTCCAGGGTGTAGTACACGATGTAACCTGGGGGGGGCAGAACAGAGCATGACATCATAGAGAGAGACCAGAGAGACCAGAGAGAGACCAGAGAGAGAGACCAGAGAGAGAGACCAGAGAGAGAGACCAGAGAGAGACCAGAGAGAGACCAGCGAGAGACCAGAGAGAGAGACCAGAGAGAGACCAGAGAGAGACCAGAGAGAGACCAGAGAGAGAGACCAGAGAGAGACCAGCGAGAGACCAGAGAGAGAGACCAGCGAGAGAGACCAGAGAGAGACCAGAGAGAGAGACCAGAGAGAGACCAGAGAGAGACCAGAGAGAGAGATCAGAGAGAGACCAGAGAGAGAGACCAGAGAGAGACCAGCAAGAGAGACCAGAGAGAGAGACCAGAGAGAGACCAGCAAGAGAGACCAGAGAGAGAGACCAGAGAGAGACCAGAGAGAGAGACCAGAGAGAGACCAGAGAGAGAGATCAGAGAGAGACCAGAGAGAGAGATCAGAGAGAGACCAGCAAGAGAGACCAGAGAGAGAGACCAGCGAGAGACCAGAGAGAGACCAGAGAGAGAGACCAGCGAGAGAGACCAGAGAGAGACCAGAGAGCGAGACCAGCGAGAGAGACCAGAGAGAGAGACCAGCGAGAGACCAGCGAGAGAGACCAGAGAGAGACCAGAGAGAGACCAGAGAGAGACCAGAGAGAGACCAGAGAGAGACCAGAGAGAGAGACCAGAGAGAGACCAGAGAGAGAGACCAGAGAGAGACCAGAGAGAGACCAGAGAGAGACCAGAGAGAGACCAGAGAGAGACCAGAGAGAGACCAGAGAGAGACCAGAGAGAGACCAGAGAGAGAGACCAGAGAGAGACCAGAGAGAGACCAGAGAGAGAGACCAGAGAGAGACCAGAGAGAGACCAGAGAGAGACCAGAGAGAGACCAGAGAGAGACCAGAGAGAGACCAGAGAGAGACCAGAGAGAGAGACCAGAGAGAGACCAGAGAGAGACCAGAGAGAGAGACCAGAGAGAGACCAGAGAGAGACCAGAGAGAGACCAGAGAGAGACCAGAGAGAGACCAGAGAGAGAGACCAGAGAGAGACCAGAGAGAGACCAGAGAGAGAGACCAGAGAGAGACCAGAGAGAGACCAGAGAGAGACCAGAGAGAGACCAGAGAGAGACCAGAGAGAGACCAGAGAGAGACCAGAGAGAGAGACCAGAGAGAGACCAGAGAGAGAGACCAGAGAGAGACCAGAGAGAGACCAGAGAGAGACCAGAGAGAGACCAGAGAGAGACCAGAGAGAGAGACCAGAGAGAGACCAGAGAGAGACCAGAGAGAGAGACCAGAGAGAGAGACCAGAGAGAGAGACCAGAGAGAGACCAGAGAGAGACCAGAGAGAGACCAGAGAGAGACCAGAGAGAGACCAGAGAGAGAGACCAGAGAGAGACCAGAGAGAGACCAGAGAGAGACCAGAGAGAGACCAGAGAGAGAGACCAGAGAGAGACCAGAGAGAGACCAGAGAGAGAGACCAGAGAGAGACCAGAGAGAGACCAGAGAGAGACCAGAGAGAGACCAGAGAGAGACCAGAGAGAGAGACCAGAGAGAGACCAGAGAGAGACCAGAGAGAGACCAGAGAGAGACCAGAGAGAGACCAGAGAGAGACCAGAGAGAGACCAGAGAGAGACCAGAGAGAGACCAGAGAGAGAGACCAGAGAGAGACCAGAGAGAGAGACCAGAGAGAGACCAGAGAGAGACCAGAGAGAGAGACCAGAGAGAGAGACCAGAGAGAGACCAGAGAGAGACCAGAGAGAGACCAGAGAGAGACCAGAGAGAGACCAGAGAGAGAGACCAGAGAGAGACCAGAGAGAGACCAGAGAGAGAGACCAGAGAGAGACCAGAGAGAGACCAGAGAGAGAGACCAGAGAGAGACCAGAGAGAGACCAGAGAGAGACCAGAGAGAGACCAGAGAGAGACCTGAGAGAGACCAGAGAGACCAGAGAGAGACTAGAGAGAGACTAGAGAGAGACCAGAGAGAGACCAGAGAGAGACCAGAGAGAGACCAGAGAGAGACCACAGAGAGACCAGAGAGAGAGTGTGTGTGACCGGTGCTCACCTGTGATTCGCCCGTTGGCCTCGGTCGGCGGTTGCCAGCTGATGAGTATGGAGCGCGGTCGCCCCTCTCGTCCAATCACAGTGAGGTCTTTGGGGGCGGAGCTCGGTGCTGTCAATCACACACAAAACCTGACCTTGAGAATATTTACTGTAAGAAACGATCAGGCAGACGAGCAAAACTACAGGTGCTAACATGTGGTTAGCATGTTACCTGCTTCGTAGGTGCTAACATGTGGTTAGCATGTTACCTGCTTCGTAGGTGCTAACATGTGGTTAGCATGTTACCTGCTTCGTAGGTGCTAACATGTGGTTAGCATGTTACCTGCTTCGTAGGTGCTAACATGTGGTTAGCATGTTACCTGCTTCGAAGGTGCTAACATGTGGTTAGCATGTTACCTGCTTCGTAGGTGCTAACATGTGGTTAGCATGTTACCTGCTTCGTAGGTGCTAACATGTGGTTAGCATGTTACCTGCTTCGTAGGTGCTAACATGTGGTTAGCATGTTACCTGCTTCGTAGGTGCTAACATGTGGTTAGCATGTTACCTGCTTCGTAGGTGCTAACATGTGGTTAGCATGTTACCTGCTTCGTAGGTGCTAACATGTGGTTAGCATGTTACCTGCTTCGTAGGTGCTAACATGTGGTTAGCATGTTACCTGCTTCGTAGGTGCTAACATGTGGTTAGCATGTTACCTGCTTCGTAGGTGCTAACATGTGGTTAGCATGTTACCTGCTTCGTAGGTGCTAACATGTGGTTAGCATGTTACCTGCTTCGTAGGTGCTAACATGTGGTTAGCATGTTACCTGCTTCGTAGGTGCTAACATGTGGTTAGCATGTTACCTGCTTCGTACGTGCTAACATGTGGTTAGCATGTTACCTGCTTCGTAGGTGCTAACATGTGGTTAGCATGTTACCTGCTTCGTAGGTGCTAACATGTGGTTAGCATGTTACCTGCTTCGTAGGTGCTAACATGTGGTTAGCATGTTACCTGCTTCGTAGGTGCTAACATGTGGTTAGCATGTTACCTGCTTCGTAGGTGCTAACATGTGGTTAGCATGTTACCTGCTTCGTAGGTGCTAACATGTGGTTAGCATGTTACCTGCTTCGTACGTGCTAACATGTGGTTAGCATGTTACCTGCTTCGTAGGTGCTAACATGTGGTTAGCATGTTACCTGCTTCGTAGGTGCTAACATGTGGTTAGCATGTTACCTGCTTCGTAGGTGCTAACATGTGGTTAGCATGTTACCTGCTTCGTAGGTGCTAACATGTGGTTAGCATGTTACCTGCTTCATAGGTGCTAACATGTGGTTAGCATGTTACCTGCTTCGTAGGTGCTAACATGTGGTTAGCATGTTACCTGCTTCGTAGGTGCTAACATGTGGTTAGCATGTTACCTGCTTCGTAGGTGCTAACATGTGGTTAGCATGTTACCTGCTTCGAAGGTGCTAACATGTGGTTAGCATGTTACCTGCTTCGTAGGTGCTAACATGTGGTTAGCATGTTACCTGCTTCGTAGGTGCTAACATGTGGTTAGCATGTTACCTGCTTCGTAGGTGCTAACATGTGGTTAGCATGTTACCTGCTTCGTAGGTGCTAACATGTGGTTAGCATGTTACCTGCTTCGAAGGTGCTAACATGTGGTTAGCATGTTACCTGCTTCGTAGGTGCTAACATGTGGTTAGCATGTTACCTGCTTCGTAGGTGCTAACATGTGGTTAGCATGTTACCTGCTTTGTAGGTGCTAACATGTGGTTAGCATGTTACCTGCTTCGTAACGTGCTAACATGTGGTTAGCATGTTACCTGCTTCGTAGGTGCTAACATGTGGTTAGCATGTTACCTGCTTCGTAGGTGCTAACATGTGGTTAGCATGTTACTGCTTTGTAGGTGCTAACATGTGGTTAGCATGTTACCTGCTTCGTACGTGCTAACATGTGGTTAGCATGTTACCTGCTTTGTAGTGCTAACATGTGGTTAGCATGTTACCTGCTTTCGTAGGTGCTAACATGTGGTTAGCATGTTACCTGCTTCGTAGGTGCTAACATGTGGTTAGCATGTTACCTGCTTCGTACGTGCTAACATGTGGTTAGCATGTTACCTGCTTCGTAGGTGCTAACATGTGGTTAGCATGTTACCTGCTTCGTAGGTGCTAACATGTGGTTAGCATGTTACCTGCTTCGTACGTGCTAACATGTGGTTAGCATGTTACCTGCTTCGTAGGTGCTAACATGTGGTTAGCATGTTACCTACCTGCTTCGTAGGTGCTAACATGTGGTTAGCATGTTACCTGCTTCGTAGGTGCTAACATGTGGTTAGCATGTTACCTGCTTCGTAGGTGCTAACATGTGGTTAGCATGTTACCTGCTTCGTAGGTGCTAACATGTGGTTAGCATGTTACCTGCTTCGTAGGTGCTAACATGTGGTTAGCATGTTACCTGCTTCGTAGGTGCTAACATGTGGTTAGCATGTTACCTGCTTCGTAGGTGCTAACATGTGGTTAGCATGTTACCTGCTTCGTAGGTGCTAACATGTGGTTAGCATGTTACCTGCTTCGTAGGTGCTAACATGTGGTTAGCATGTTACCTGCTTCGTAGGTGCTAACATGTGGTTAGCATGTTACCTGCTTCGTAGGTGCTAACATGTGGTTAGCATGTTACCTGCTTCATTGGTGCTAACATGTGGTTAGCATGTTACCTGCTTCGTAGGTGCTAACATGTGGTTAGCATGTTACCTGCTTCGTAGGTGCTAACATGTGGTTAGCATGTTACCTGCTTCGTTGGTGCTAACATGTGGTTAGCATGTTACCTGCTTCGTAGGTGCTAACATGTGGTTAGCATGTTACCTGCTTCGTACGTGCTAACATGTGGTTAGCATGTTACCTGCTTCGTAGGTGCTAACATGTGGTTAGCATGTTACCTGCTTCGTAGGTGCTAACATGTGGTTAGCATGTTACCTGCTTCGTAGGTGCTAACATGTGGTTAGCATGTTACCTGCTTCGTAGGTGCTAACATGTGGTTAGCATGTTACCTGCTTCGTAGGTGCTAACATGTGGTTAGCATGTTACCTGCTTCGTACGTGCTAACATGTGGTTAGCATGTTACCTGCTTCGTAGGTGCTAACATGTGGTTAGCATGTTACCTGCTTCGTAGGTGCTAACATGTGGTTAGCATGTTACCTGCTTCGTAGGTGCTAACATGTGGTTAGCATGTTACCTGCTTCGTACGTGCTAACATGTGGTTAGCATGTTACCTGCTTCGTAGGTGCTAACATGTGGTTAGCATGTTACCTGCTTCGTAGGTGCTAACATGTGGTTAGCATGTTACCTGCTTCGTAGGTGCTAACATGTGGTTAGCATGTTACCTGCTTCGTAGGTGCTAACATGTGGTTAGCATGTTACCTGCTTCGTAGGTGCTAACATGTGGTTAGCATGTTACCTGCTTCGTAGGTGCTAACATGTGGTTAGCATGTTACCTGCTTCGTAGGTGCTAACATGTGGTTAGCATGTTACCTGCTTCGTAGGTGCTAACATGTGGTTAGCATGTTACCTGCTTCGTAGGTGCTAACATGTGGTTAGCATGTTTACCTGCTTCGTAGGTGCTAACATGTGGTTAGCATGTTACCTGCTTCGTACGTGCTAACATGTGGTTAGCATGTTACCTGCTTCGTACGTGCTAACATGTGGTTAGCATGTTACCTGCTTCGTAGGTGCTAACATGTGGTTAGCATGTTACCTGCTTCGTAGGTGCTAACATGTGGTTAGCATGTTACCTGCTTCGTAGGTGCTAACATGTGGTTAGCATGTTACCTGCTTCGTAGGTGCTAACATGTGGTTAGCATGTTACCTGCTTCGTAGGTGCTAACATGTGGTTAGCATGTTACCTGCTTCGTAGGTGCTAACATGTGGTTAGCATGTTACCTGCTTCGTACGTGCTAACATGTGGTTAGCATGTTACCTGCTTCGTAGGTGCTAACATGTGGTTAGCATGTTACCTGCTTCGTAGGTGCTAACATGTGGTTAGCATGTTACCTGCTTCGTAGGTGCTAACATGTGGTTAGCATGTTACCTGCTTCGTACGTGCTAACATGTGGTTAGCATGTTACCTGCTTCGTAGGTGCTAACATGTGGTTAGCATGTTACCCTGCTTCGTAGGTGCTAACATGTGGTTAGCATGTTACCTGCTTCGTAGGTGCTAACATGTGGTTAGCATGTTACCTGCTTCGTAGGTGCTAACATGTGGTTAGCATGTTACCTGCTTCGTAGGTGCTAACAACATGTGGGTTAGCATGTTACCTGCTTCGTAGGTGCTAACATGTGGTTAGCATGTTACCTGCTTCGTCAGGTGCTAACATGTGGTTAGCATGTTACCTGCTTCGTAGGTGCTAACATGTGGTTAGCATGTTACCTGCTTCGTAGGTGCTAACATGTGGTTAGCATGTTACCTGCTTCGTAGGTGCTAACATGTGGTTAGCATGTTACCTGCTTCGTAGGTGCTAACATGTGGTTAGCATGTTACCTGCTTCGTAGGTGCTAACATGTGGTTAGCATGTTACCTGCTTCGTAGGTGCTAACATGTGGTTAGCATGTTACCTGCTTCGTAGGTGCTAACATGTGGTTAGCATGTTACCTGCTTCGTAGGTGCTAACATGTGGTTAGCATGTTACCTGCTTCGTAGGTGCTAACATGTGGTTAGCATGTTACCTGCTTCGTACCGTGCTAACATGTGGTTAGCATGTTACCTGCTTCGTAGGTGCTAACATGTGGTTAGCATGTTACCCTGCTTCGTGGAGGTGCTAACATGTGGTTAGCATGTTACCTGCTTCGTAGGTGCTAACATGTGGTTAGCATGTTACCTGCTTCGTAGGTGCTAACATGTGGTTAGCATGTTACCTGCTTCG